ATGAACAGTGAAAGAACAACAAGCTCACAGTTATTAACAACCACACCTAAAACGAAAGCAAACTAAAAGAACAGCTAGATCAGGAGTGGAAACATAGAAATGAAGATCTCAAGGAGGGTTAGCAACAGGGGAGTGGGAGGAGGAGATGGGGGGAGGAGGTACAGAAAATAAGTAGCATAGACAGTAGATAGAAAATAGATGGGGGGGGCAAGAATAGCATGGGAAATATAGAACCTAAAGGACTTGGGACACATGGACATAAACTAAAGGGGGGTAATGGTGGGGATGGGGGGCAGGGTGGAGGGGAATGAAGGGGGGAATAGAACAACTGTAACAGCATAATCAATTTTAAAAAATAAATTAAAAAAATATTTTAAAAAAAAGTGATTCAGATGAGGCAGGAATGTTAAGATGGCTCTAGGAGTATCTTAAACAGTTCATTTTATTTATACTTTCCTTTTTATTAGGCATGAGAGTGGTGTATAATAAAAATAACCATCTAGCCCTGACCAGTGTGGCTCAGTTGGTTGGGTGTAGTCCCACAAAGTGAAAGGTCACTGGTTGGATTACCAGTCAGGGAACAGGCCTGGGTTGCCAGTTCCCTCCTCAGTCAGGTCATGTGTGAGAGGCAACCAATCATTGTTTCTCTCCTTCTCCCTCTCCAAGAAAAATGAAATTAAATTAAATTAAATAAAGAAAAGAGACTATTTAATTAAATCAAAGAGTTCTTCAGTAGGTATAAAGTATAAATTCTAAATGAAGAAAAGCATAGTTTATCAATATTTTTCTTTACTTAGAGTACATTAACAATAGCTTTACAACAGATGGCATCTACAATTATATAAAATATGGTACAACAAACATCCCGAACTTCTCTTTAATAACATAGCATAGTCATTTATCAAAATATTTAAAAGCCATGCAGATATTTCTGGCCTATCAATATGGCAATGAAGTGCCAAACTCAGGAACACAAAGAGTTCTGCTCTGATTCTGGATATAAATAGCATTTCTTGAGCTGCCCTGGTCTAGTGCAGTGCTTCCCAAATTTTAGTATGTATGAGAATATTCCAGAAAGTTTGTTTTAGGCCCACACCTGAGATTCTGATAGAGCAGAACTGACAGAGGGCCTAATAATCTGCATTTCCAACGAGCTCCCAGGTGATGTTAATGATATTGGTTCAGAGAACACATTTTGGGAAGTGCTAGTCTTTACGCTACTGCCTCTCGCCTCACTCAAAACCTTCAGACCTTAATGCCTAAGCTAATTCTGCTCATCAATTCCTTCCCTTCTTCATCAATTCAAACAAATAGAGTTTCCACTTTGAATCGGGCCCTGTGCCAGGTGCTGAATTAATAAAAAAGAAGAAATAAAGAAAGGAAGGAAGAGAGGGAGGGAGGGAAGGGTCACAGAATAAAATGCCAATTATTACACTGTTAACTTGGTGTGTTTTCTCTCAACATACCTATCTCTCGAGCAAGAATAATACTGCTTAGGCGTATAGGTTGGGTAGATTCAGCAGTGAGTACCGCTTTTTGGGAACACAAGGTACTGTTTTCATATAAAGGCTCAACCGTTACTGCATCATGATGGGTGGAATGCCTGTCAGAATAAAATGCTTAAGAATATGAAATAAGAATAAGTGGGTTAAAATTTACTTTTGATGGAACACAGATTCCTTTAGTTTGTCTACATTACATACCACCTTGTGTATTTAAATGATACTCTTCAAAACAGAAACATTACATAGGAAATAAGAGTTAAGTGGGAGACTGATCAGAACATTTTCCCAATTATCCCATGGGCAAAGATGCATTTCTTCCTTAATACTTAAAATTAGATCACGCCCTGGCTGGTGTAGCTTAGTGGATTGAGCCTGGGCCTGCAAACCAAGGGATTTCGGTTTGATTCCCAGTCAGGGCACATGCCTGGGTTGCAGGCCAGGTCCTAGCGGGGGACCCACAAGAGGCAACTGTACACTGACATTTCTCTCCCTCTCTCCTTTCCTTCCCCTCTAAAGATAAATAAAATCTTTAAAAAAAGTTAGACTGCAACATTCTTCCCTCAGTATGTAAAAATAGGATTGATGTTGTGTTTCCAGTAATGAGAGAAGTAGCTTTCTTATACTCTGAGGAAATGAGTTTCCTTAAATCCTAGAAACTGGGCTGCTAATACCTAAGATGGAAAAGTTGCCAAAATTATGAGGTATGAGTCCACCTCAAAAAAAATCATTAATATTTTCGGATGGATGGAATGCCTTTCAATGCTGGAAAGATTCCTTGCATTATCCTCTCAATGAAGAAGTACATCACACTGGGTCATCTTACAATTATACTTCCTCTATACTTCCTTTAAAAAATGGGAGATGAACTTACACTCTCAACAAAACTTAGTGCTTCTCTTAGGAGATGATAAAGGGAAATCTACTCTTTTAAAGATGAACCCCCTGATACCCTGGAGCCCAGTTCAGTTAGGCTCCCTCACACCTTAGGTAACCATACAACCTATGGTTGGGTCCTCTCACACAAGAAAATCATGCCTTTCCATCCTCAGTCAGGAAGTCATGCCCGCTGAGTTTGGTACCTCTTGTCCTCACAGTTCAAGAGAATACTCTCATTTAAGGGGGAAACATATCTAACAGATCTTGTCTTCACCCAAAATAAACCTCTTCATATTATAAGAAATGTATACTTCATGGTCTCTGGGCTTCAGGTCCCTTATTTGTGGAATGGGAGCGATAGTACTTGACTGAAAGCTGAATGAGTTAATACTCGCAAAGTGCTTAGTTAAGGACACGATACACAGTTGTTTTGAGATGCCTTCACACTCAAAACCCCACCTTATTTAGTTAATGGGGACCCTCAAACCCCAAGCCTCTCTGCTCCTCAATTTCTTCTGGCCTTGGGAACTCCTCACTCTAGTTATTTACTTTGCAAGTTCCCCACATTGGGTAGCCTCCAGACCTGAGGCTACCCACAGAGAGCTTCCCTGGGCTCTGCTCTGATAGCTGCTCCCACAGTGACCACCTGTCCCAGCACATTCCCAACACATACGCACGCACACACACACAGAACAGGCCAGTGTCACATCCTGGACATTTCTCATGCAAGGCCCCACACATGACCTAAAGATATCGCACACAACGAGATTAGGCCACATTCGGAAAATCTGGCCACTCCAACCCAATACTCCATCCTCCTCCCTACAGAAAAGTCACCAAACAAGCACACAACATTCCCGTGGGGTCTTCCATTGGGTGAACTTCCCATCTTTACTGGATGGTGTGGAATGCATACCCTTGGGTTCCCTCCTCACCAAGTGTAGCAGCCCCGCTGTGCCTCGAGCAGAAAGGGCACGCGGCCAGGCTGCCGGCCGAAGGGTAGCAACACTTGTGGCACGTTAAGCTTGTGGGCCAGTGTCACAAGCAAAATCAGAAGCAATAACAGGAGGCGGTGTAGAGGCAAGCAGAAAAACAGTCCTAAGTCTCGGGACACTGGTGCCCCAAAGTTAGTCATGGCGACTGCTGCCTTCAGGTTCCCGCTCAGCTACAGCTGCGCCCTGCTCCATCAGCCAATCCTCAGGCGAAACGTCAGCAGGAGGTGGGGCCTCCTTCTGGAGGGGAATTGTGGGATCCCCTTTACTAAACGTTCCAGCAAGCCGATATTATAGAAACGTTAAGCACAATCCAGGGTGCCACTTAAAGATTGGGTGGCATATCTAAAATCTTTCTCCCACTTTAACTTGTTGCCTACATTATTATTTGGCACCTAGCCCCACCCACCTTTTTTCTTTTGGGCAGTAATTTCTATTCAGCATTGGTCTGTACCTATTAATGGAAAAATTTTCCAGTCTTGAGTACAAACACCTAGTTGACCGTTGTCAGTGAAGCTGTGTCATTTCTACTAGAATGTCAGATTCATGTCAGCTTACGGCCAGGGTGGAGGAAATGCCAGGCACTGGTGTCTCAAAAGCAACTTTCAAAGTTGTCCACTCACTCAGCACATCTCTAAGCAAATACTTAGAGTACTTCTCAAATCAACTTGTTTCCTTCAAATATTCAACACAATAGCAGCTCAAAGGCTGTCTCGGGGCAATTTACTAAAACCACACATATGTAGCAGTACACAATCAGTGTCATATATTGAAGTTGTTTAAGCAGCACAGAGCCTAAAAGCCTATGATTTATAAGAAAGAACTAGGCCCTGGCTGGTGTAGCTCAGTGGATTGAGGACAGGCCTACGAACCAGAGAATCGCAGTTCAATTCCCAGTCAGGGCATATGTATGGGTTGCAGGCCAGTCCCCTGCAGGCCAGTTCCCAGCAGGGGATGCATGAAAGGCAACCATACATTGATGTTTCTCTCCCTCTCCTCTAAAGATAGATAAATAAATAATTTAAAAAAATAAAAAAATTAAAAAAAAAAAAAAAAAAAAAGAGTAAGACTTGTAAAGGAAAATGTATTGCTCACCCTGAAGATGCAGTGTTAAATTAAGTAAACTACAAGAGGTCTGGCACATGATTATTTCACATCTTTACATTTACACAATACACATTATTATTATTATTATTTTAAAGATTTTATTTATTTACTTATAGAGGGGAAGGAGAGAGGGAGAGAAACATCAATGTATGGTTGCCTTTCCTGCATCCCCTGCTGGAAACTGGCCTGCAGGTAGCAGTCTGCGACCCAGGCATGTGCCCTGACTGGGAATCGAACTGCGACCCTTTGATTCACAGGCCCGTGCTCTATCCACTGAGCTACACCAGCCAGGGCCACATTATTTCTATTTTACATGATGAAACTCAATGATTTATATCAGGACATACAACTGGGAATCTCAGAGCTGAGTTTCAAACCCAGTTTTGGTCTGCTACCAAAGCATACACTCTGAAGTCCTGTTGCTGCCACTCACAAAGTTCTGATTTTTAACCAAAACTTCAGTTCCTGTGGAAGAAGTACACTTGGATTAGTTAAATAAAAAGTCAAGTAGATCTGAAGATTAGAGGGACTGGTTCTTTATTTAAAAAGACATTTGTCAATTTTCAGTATCAAAATAGTTGCACTATTGGTTTTTCTTTCTCTCAATCAGCCCCCAAAGAGGCCATACCAAAGGAGAGGACATTTTAAGCCAGGAAGCTGCCGGATGTGAAACTAACAGACCTCACAGAAACCTCACCAATAAGGGGGTACTGGGCAAGGAAAGAAACTTAAAAGATCAGCACACTGCCGGCCCAGAACTTTCACAGCCAGATGAGGTGGCCAGTGCACCGCAACCCCAAAGAAGCAAAGTTTCAAAATAATATAAAATTTTAAAAGTTTTGTACATAAACTATTCAAGATTTCTCCAGCACTAACTGATGCGAAGCACAATGAGATGGCACTTTTAGACACAGCAGCTTCAGACCCAGAAGAGGGTGATGAGATGATTTCATTATGGCTAAATCATTGGCAAAAACATAATTTTATTTCTTTAAGGAGGCAAATAACTGGTCACTTTAACATGATCCATTTTGTGAACCACTGAGAAGGGGGTAGAGATAGGACAAGGATTTGGTTTCAGAGAGGTGTCACCATTTTAATTTGGTCACTTCTGATTTAAAAAAAAAAAAAGTGCCCCAAAATACCTTAAAGCTGAAACCTGAACTTTTTTTTTTGGCTAACTCCTCCTGGAATCATCTTTCCGGTTTGGCTGGTACTCTGCACAAAGCAATGACCCCCGCATAGTGGAGTCTTTCTCTGGGCTCTGTTTGGCTCTCAATAAAGGCAGGCCCTTCCCTCTTTCCCTCCTCTATGGAGAAGGCAATATGGATGAAGTTGAAAAATTACCTTCTAAAAGTGAGAAAGGGATTAAACTGCTGCTTGAGAACTGTGTAACTATTTGGAATGTCTTACAAATGGTTGCTACAACAACAAAAAAGGTAATTACAAAATGTGCACATCACAACATGCTTTTAAAGACACTTTGCATTGTGCTCACATTCCCTTAAATGTTGTTCCCAAAGGTGCTCAGCCTTTAACCCAACCAGAATAGCTGGGAGAGGCAGAGACTTTGGCAAAAAACACATTAGGCGGGGGTAGGGATGTAGAGTGGAGGGTGGGGGGAAGCGAAAGGAGAAAGCAGCCTTCCAGTTAAAGATCAGCCCTCAGTTTAAAGGTCAGCTTCTGGCAGGCTGGCCTCAGGCGGAGTCGGGGTCAGAGGGAGGAACGTCGACAGGGCAGGACTAGGGTGCTCTACATCTCATTCAGGTCAAGCAGAGTCTGGTCCAGCATCCTTTGTGTACAGAGGTGTTCCTCTTTCGTGCACTTCAGTTTATCTAATGGGGGGTAAAGGAGAGACATTACAAAATCAGAAGTACATTTCAAGGTCCACCCACTCTGAGAATTGCTCCTGTTGCAGGGAAGCTGCAGACTAATAAAGCAGCTGCCTTCTTAGCCACAGAAGTGAACTATTGCATCACTCCATTTTGCAGGGCCTCAGGCTTAACCTACTGAAGTTGCAGATGCTGCTGTACTTCAGGGGGAGTTGGGAACCTTATCACAGTCATTTCCCCTCCCTCCCACACCCAATCAAGCCTTAGAGCTTTCAGAGGATACAGCCTTAAACATCAGCCATCCACTCCTTTAGGCTTCACCCAGAGAACAATACCTAGGTGAACTGGCTCACTGGGGTTTAACCATTGAGAATAAGGATGGGTATATTTCTACCAGTAAAAACATCAGTATCTCAATCAACTTGAAAAGAATACAGGGGGAGTTTCATGTACTACAAGCCTTTCCCAAAAGGTAGAGAGGAAAAGAACCCCCACAGTTAAATAATCTCTAAAGAAAACAAAGCCAAGAATATTACCAAACATACACATGTAAGCAAAACCTTGAGATTGTTGCCAGGTTTTTGCCCAGAACTACTTTGTGACAGTTACTTAAACACAAAATCAGGAAAAAGCAAGAGGGAAATGTCAGTAAGAAAACCGGCAGCAACACATCCAAGAAAATCTAATCTGCCCAGAAAGCAAAAACCTCTGTGACTACTCTAGGGAGGTAAGAAAATACTGGAATCTTCAATTCAGAGAAGATGACGGCACACAAATCCATTAATACTCCACACCCTTTTCCTTCCCTTCCCTTTCCTTTTTTTGTACCATCAAAAGGGCCCATTAACGGGACTTCAGATGAAGCAGTTACAACACCTTGTCAAGTCATTCCTTTTATTGTTAGAAAACATCCATGCAACAGAACACATCCTACATTCAGTACACAAGTGAATAAGCAGCAAATAAGGGTGTAGAACAGACAATTCACCACAATCCGTCAGGCCCCTCCCTTTTATCACCCACAGTACTCTTAGGAAGTCAGCAATATTCTAACTGCCCCAATGAAAAAGCAATTTGCCTAGGGCTATTTAGTAACTTTTAAAAAGACAATCAGTTTTTTTGCTGGGGTCCAGGTCAGTGGTGTGAGCAATAAGCTCAGTTTAATGGGCATCAGGGAGCCCTGCCATCAGTCACACAGATCATGCAGCGTTAGCTTCAGCTCATTAGAAAGCAGACGGTTTCGCTCAAGTTGGCTGTAGAGACGCTCTGCAGCAGCAACAGGAAGGAGAGAAAACAAGAAGAAAGGAGAAAGAGGAAGAGAAAGAGAAAAAGAAAAAGGGAAGGTTAGTAGAGCACCAGACATAAACTGGAGACTTTCAACTAGCTGGCATACATAACATGCATCTGTAAGGCACAATGGATGCAAGCAGAATTCAGACAGAGGGCAATTGAGATCGTCAGTCGGTTGATGTAAAGACCAAAGAATAAAATAAAATAATCAGACCAAGAAGTTGGAAGGATAACATTTTGAGGGAGAGAAAAAAATCTTCACAGTATTTCTTCTCGGGGTTGAGGAACAGAGACAAGTGAAACAGGGCAAAGAAAAGAATACAGTTGAAGTATAAGAAATACATTTGTAATAATTAAGGGTTTGAAAGGACTGAAGTAAACAGTTGATCATTTTTTCTGTAAAAACATTTAATACAGCATTATAAATGGTAGACTGGGACAAATAATCCTTATACCAATTCAGTCCTACACTTTCTAATGCTTCTTGTGGGTGTCGGAAGAGACCACCCACCACACACTGTGGTTAATTCACTCAAAACCCATCTTTCCCTTTTCTTTTTTCTTAAAAAGTTTTTTTTTTTTTTTTTGAGGGAAAAAGGAGGGGGAAAAAAGAGAGGGAGAGAAACATAGATGTGAGAAATATTAATTGATTGCCTCTTGTACACACCTCAACCTAGGACCCAACCCGCAACCCAGGTACATGCTTGACCAGGAATCGTGCCACACTGGTCAGGGTCCAACCACCCCTGGGGTTAACAGTGTGCCCAGCCTCAGGGAAGGTGAATTACTGGTACAAGCCAATGAAGCCTATCCAATTCTGTTTTTCCAACCTCCTTTGCAGCTAAGGGAGATCATGTGATCCAATTCTGGCCAATGAGATGTAGGGGATAATCGCTGGGAGTTTCTGGGAAATTTGTAGCCTTCCTTCTTGCCTTTGAACACGGATGTGATTACTAGAACTACGTATTTCGACCTTAAAAGAATGAAAGAATCACAGAAAGCCCAGCTATAGCATTATATCAGGCTACTGTTGCTCAAGTCTAGACTCTTAATTATGCAATAAAAATAAATCCCATATTTATTTTGGCTACTGTTAAGCTGTTTCTTATAACCAAAGCATTCCCAATACAAGTACCTAAATGCTTAAGTCCCCTGGCTTTGTCTGGATTTTCTACTTGGAGCACACCTTCAAGAGAGGTTACAAAGAATCTAAATGTATCTGACCGGCAGAGGGGTAACAGAAATTTGGGGACAGGAAAGCTAAACTCCTTCCTTATCTACTAGTATCAGCCTTCGAAGTTCACAAACATGTTTCTTCCTATGTTTTATAGACTGTTTCAAAATTACCTCAAGGTCTCAATATGAAAAAACAAACAACAACAAAAAAACTTTTTCTGCTGTAAAATCTATTGGAATGTGGGCTGACTATAGGCATTGCTCAGGCACCTTCCCTTCTTGGCTGAGGATTTCTCCAGCTCTACCTGGAAGCTGAGGCCAGTCCCAATAACAGTTGGGTCCAGCTCCTGCCCAAATACTACAACATCTAGGGTTGTACTGTCCAATGCAGTAGCCATTAGCCACATGTGGCTTATAACATTTAGGTGAACCAAAAGTAATAAAATTAGAAATTTAGCCCCTGACTAATATTAGCTGTATTTTGAATGCTCAACAGCCATATGTAACCAGTATCTACTCTTTCCACCAACTCACTCTTTTGCTCCTTAAAATAGGGCTCCTCTCCTTGTTCTTAAGGCTCAAAATGTACCCTTCAAATTAATAAAGTATCAACAACGTCCTACTTCATTATCTTCCTTCTTAACCTGTCAAAGTTGAGAATCACTGGAAATCATCCAGCCTTGAACTTCATCAACAGTATGGTCCCAATAACAGTTTCCACTCTATGCACACTACCAACACAGAATGTATTATGTATAAAAAGATTCTAGAAGGGAATACCCCAAAATAATAGCTTTATAAAAGGGCAGGAATTAGGAGTGAACTTTTAAAATTGAACTGCCCTTTAAGCCTGTGGTTCTCAACACAAGTGACATTGCTCCTCCTCTCCCCACAAAGGGAAATTTGGAAATGTGTGGAGGCAGGCTTTAATTGTCACAATAACAAAAGTTCACCTTTAAGAAACATTATACTAGTCTATAAGCTCCATGAGGCCTGGAATTGGGTCTTATTCACAGGGACACCGCTTGCATATAGATTCCATGTGCAGCCCAACCCCTCTGTAGCATCCATATCCAAGCTAGTGTGATCACCACTCCTGTCTTGGAAAGAAGGTGTAATCAGAATCTTATCCCTCAAAATAGGCTGGTCAATGAGTGTTTCAATCCCTTTAAAAGAGAAACAAAGAGGCAGAGAAGTGGGAGCATTTTATTGCCTGATTCATTTCCAGAATGCACAGTTCCCTAAAATCAGCCTTGGAAGTTCACAAACATGTTTCTTCCTGTGTTTTATAGACTGTTTCAAAATTACCTCAAGGTCTCAATATGAAAAAACAAACAGTTTTTCACAGTTCCCTTGTACCTTTCTGTACAAGGTCAGAAAGGTAAATGTGGTTGTTCTCTCACAGAACTTAGTATGTTTCTGACTCTACTATCTCTCTGATGACCAAAAATTCAGGATCAGATACCAACTCATTAAATTTCTTGGCTCTCTGGTAACGGCAAAATAAAACAAACCAAAAAAAAGGGCAATCCATAGAATCCATTTAGTCTGATGTTCATTTTACCTGTGCCTAGTTAATTAGGGAACAATCTCATGAATACTAGACATCCTTAGACTTCATCATCAGAATTAGGTTAATTTCATTCTATAAAAGGAAGGGGTGAGAGGCTCAGAGTAAAGGGAAATATATCAGCTTTAAAGCCTCAAAGTTCAAAGAAAGTGAGAACAAATATTGCTTTGGTTTTTAAAAAAATTCCCCTTCCTCTAATGTTAAGGCTGAGGAGTATTCAAATACCACATGAAAGGAAGAGATTGGGTGGGGCTAAGATAAGCCTTCGTGAAGTAACAGGTAGTTCCACCCCGCAGGTAACTTGGGGTTCGGCCACATTTTGTTCTTCATTCCGACAATGATAAAGAGGAAGTGAAGAAAACACATTATCAGACTGTGGTTCTTTCTTACAAATTAATAAAAGAGGAAAAAGTTAAGAGGTCAAACATTTTACTCTGAGATTACCAATAATTCCTGGCCCCCTTCCCATAGCTGGCTAGCTTTAGGTATCATAGGATACAGAGTATTAAATGAGTGAATTTAACATGACACAGTATTTTAAATTTTACTCAGCTTCCCTGGATTGCAGATCTCTATCCTTGCTTACACCAGTCATGGCTATGGGGAAAGATGGGAGTTATCAGAAGAATAACACTTCACTTTTCTCCTTATCTCCTCCCCATTTTCTCTTCTTTCCTAAGAGGCCTTTCTGCGTGTCCAAGTCAACTCCTGCCCAAATACTACAACATCTAGGGTTGTACTGTCCAATGCAGTAGCCATTAGCCACATGTGGCTTATAACATTTAGGTGAACCAAAAGTAATAAAATTAGAAATTTAGCCCCTGACTAATATTAGCTGTATTTTGAATGCTCAACAGCCATATGTAACCAGTATCTACTCTTTCCACCAACTCACTCTTTTGCTCCTTAAAATAGGGCTCCTCTCCTTGTTCTTAAGGCTCAAAATGTACCCTTCAAATTAATAAAGTATCAACAACGTCCTACTTCATTATCTTCCTTCTTAACCTGTCAAAGTTGAGAATCACTGGAAATCATCCAGCCTTGAACTTCATCAAGTATCAAAGCTACTCATTCTCCATCTGTCCCTTCAATCAATTTTATTTGGCTCCCTCCTCTAGATTTTCCTCTTTAATTCTTTTTACACTTACAATTATCTTTTAGGGTTATAATGTACTTCCATGGCCTAAACTATCTGTCACCTTTGTAAATTCCCAAATCTTACATGAACGCCTCCCCTATAAACCCCAGGAGCGTTTCACCTGGACACTCGCCAGTTTTTCAGACATACATTCTTCTCACCCTTTCCTGCCTCCCCAAACCAGTACCATAGGACCTCCCTACACCTTTACCATTGCCCTTTTCCTATGCTTAAAACCACTGCCTTCTCCTACTCACATTTAGTGGCCAGGCCATTCAAAATACCCGTCTAGTTCAGATTATCATCTTTGAGAAAACTGCAATAAACTAACCCAGTATTTCCCAAAGTGTACAGTCACTGCTAGTGGTAGGTGAGAAGATGTCAGGCAGCATGCATTTGTAAATTTTGATCACTTTAATGCGCCTTAGCAAAAACACTAGCACGCAACAAACCTTTGATTTCAAGTTAGAATTGTGTAGAGTAAGAATAAAAAAATTCCAAAACAGGAGTAAATTTTTAAAGAAAATAATAATGTCGCATGGGCTCGGATTTATGGTAGGCCCGTGCCCCCTGGGTCTTAGTGCCCCAGGCCAGAGCACCCTGGCCCGGCCTCTGCCCACGGGCTACAGGCATTGAAGTGGGCTGCACAGTGGAAAGAAAAAGAAAATAATAATGTAGGCATCAAGTGAATATTCCAAGTCCCCAAGTGAAATTTCAGAATCGTTGTCTTAATGAGTCACTTTTGATAGTCTGCTTTGCTTCCAATATATTTTTATTTTTTTCTCCCAATATATTAACTCAGCTGCCCAAATTAACTCTTCTCATATGCTACACAGACTGGAACATATCCTTGTTCAAAGTCTCCAGTGACTTCCCAACTTACAAAATCAGATGAAGCCCCCTAGCTTGATTTGAGCATACGTGTCCCTTACATGTCTACCTTTACAGACACTGTGTCCTTCCTATCCCTATCTATGCCTTTTTCTGTTTCTTTTTGACTGAAATGTTCGATGTTCACTACACCTCAACCAAAGGTTGCTTGTCAAAAATCCAATCTTTTAGAACCCAATAAAAATAAAGGGGCAAGTTTTAACCTCTTTATTAAGTACCTCTTATATGCCTCTTTCCCGGAGTCTTTTTTTGTTCAACACCCCCACAGGAGTCATTCTCCTCCCTCATTACCTCCCACCGCACTTTATTATTCATGGCGCTTACAATGTATCTTCTGCTTTATATGTTTTCTCCCCTACTAGATTCTGAACAACCTGTGAGCAGGGATGGTGTCTCCATCTTTGCGTATTTCTGTCCCCACCTTAATACCCTGTGCCTAGAAGATACTAGTAAGTGTCAGCGGAATAACTGAATCTGTACCTTCATCTCAAAGGCTGGGTGGCAGGAAGAAATGCTATAGAAATAAAACCCAAATTCAGTGAGACCTGAAGGTTTAGGTCCAGGAAAACCTCTGTACTTGCCTGTACCTGGTTAGGAGTTTCCAAAGTGCTGATCTTTAATTCCATAACATAAATTTATCATACTAACTCACATAATAAATCATTACCACCCATGTACATCATTGGAAATAGGTATACTTAGATTTCAGCTTTTCTTTCTTTAGAAAAGAAAATTTTTAAAATTTATTCTAGAGGGAAGGAGAGAAACCGATCCACTTTCCACCCATTCATGTACTCATAGATTGACCCTTGCATGCTCCCTGAACTAGGGATGGAACCCGCAACCTTGGTGCATCAGGACAATGCTCCAACCAACTGAGCTACCCAGCCAGGGCGGCTGTTTTAGTTTTTCCAGTAATAACCATTTTTCACTTGTCTCATAGCCCACTAGCATAGCCCAAAGCAGGAGGCTAATGGTAGTAAGCCTCATATAGCCAAGAATGGTTTCAGGAAGAAAACGTAAAACTTGAAAATTCTATCCATTATGTGTTTTTCTATGATTTGAGATCAAATAATTAGTTAGTTTTAGTGGTAATATATTTGGGTCCACCAGACGTTCTAGGGATGCACCATCTGAACCACTGGCAAAGGGTAGAAAATGTGTACTGGGAGGCATTTCAATGGTTTCTTGCCCTTACTCTAACACAGGGAGAGAACCTGAGTAGAGGGTGGAACATTCCACACAGCATGATTCAGGGCCCTGGAAGTAAAGGACTTAAATCAGGGGTGTCAAACTCATTTTCACTGGGGGCCACATCAGCCTCCAGGCTGCCTTCAAAGGGCCGAATGTAATTTTAGGACTGTGTAAAGGTAACTACTCCTTAACAGCTAAGCAAGAGCTCAGCACTGCGACCAGTAGAAACAAGGTGCCAGTGTGGGCCAGATAAAACAAGGTGAAGAGCCGGATTCAGCCCACGGGCCTCGTGTCTGCCGCCTGTGATTTAGATCATCTTATTCAGCCTGAAGGGTAAGACTACAGCACCTCTTCACACCCACTACTCTGAAAGACAGATTAGCTGAGTCTAAATGTCAAGAAAGAAACAGACACACACACACAAAAGTGGCTTTGATTGTGTAAGTCAGAGGAGGGAGAGCCTATGATATCTATTCCCCACATCACAACCCCGAGGCTCCTTCTTAGGGACAGCAGCAGCTTTGTCAATGACCAAATGCAGGGTGGCATGAGGCTTCCAGCAGCTTAACATTTTAATTTGGGGTGGGGTGAACAGGAATACATAAGCTGCTTTGTGGCCCCCTGCCCATCCTAATGCCTTGGGGACGAGTCAGGCTGACCCAAAGGGAATCCAGAGTGAGAGTGGGGCGTTGGGTTCCCCGCAGAGCGGGGGAGGATCCAGAACAGAGCAGAAACGGTGGAAAATTATCTGTGTGAAAAAGTAAGGAGACTCTAGGTGAGAAGGACTCGTATCGGTCTACACAACAATTTGGGACAAAGGAAGCAGAGAAAAAGGAAGAGGTGGCAATAGGAATGATAAGAGAGCCAGACACTATAGCCTGAGTCACTTGGCTGCTTTTCAGGGTTAGTGGGAAAGACACAAAGAGGCAGATTAGCATCAAGATCAGGGGTCCACGGCAAACAGGTGAGGTTCCGAACAACTCTTTTTGGTGCTTTTTACTACCTGGCTTGTTCTGGGACTAACGTTTGGGAATCATCTTCAATTTGTAGGTAAATTTGACTATTTCCAATTATGGGTGTTTCCTCGGAATTTTGGCATCAGGGCACAAATTGAATACACACAGGAAGCCTGTGTTTTGTTATGTAATGTCAGGGCCCAAATCACTGGTTCTCCGGGCCTTATTTCCTTAGTTGTATGATGACATGATGTAACCTTCAGCAGTATCCCTCTGAGAAGACCAGATTTGAGAAACAGTAAAATCAGTGTGCTAGTAAAGGTGCTATGAATGCAAATTACATGAAGATGATCCGAGATTAAATGCCTTCCCAGCTTTTGCCAATAAGTAACCAGCACCAATGTTCTAAAGATAAGGGTGGAGAGGCTAGTGTCCAAAGAATAAAACCAAAGCATACTGTGCACAGTCCATAGCCCCACCCACCCACAAGCCAAGGTCCCAGCCCCACTCTGCTGTCAGATAGTTACATAGAGGTCATGTCATTGAGGGCGTGGTCCAGCTCCTCGCTAATGGCCTTGTACTTCAGTTTCTGGGCATAGAGCTCATCTGGACAGGCACAGGAACCACAGGGAGGAACGAGGGGACAGAGTGAAAGGTATCGAAAGCAGATGAAGAGAGGGAATCATTAGAAATTAGGGAGAGTGTGACTGTGGGTCTAACACCACAGTTAAGAACACATCTATACCGGCAGCCACTACTGGTCATTTTCAGATCCACTGTCCCCCAGGACAAACTGGACTTCTTGACACCTCTAATCAATTGTAACAAGGGTTGAGAACCTAGACATAGTTATAGAAATTCCTATTACTAAAGGCACTTAGGCGGTTACCACTGGAATCCAGTTAACCCAATCTCTAGCAGTGATAATGCTTAATTTAACAACAATTAAAAACAGAGAAAGTATACAATATCAGATACTTTTCTAGCTATACCAAGGATGACCAGTATTCTTGGCCCCTCTACCCTATGGGCTGCCTTCTTAAACTCTCCCAAAGAATATTCTATTACCCAAAGTCAACCAAAGGAGGGTATTTCACAGTTCTCAGAGTAAAGTACATTTATTACCCTTGTTAAAAGAGACACTGTTGACAAATTGTGGGGACAGCAAGCATTTAGCAAGCCCCTGGCATTGGTCAGCTCTGAGACCTGATTATTCCACAGCTGCCTCTCTTGCAGAGGTCTCCCACAACTTGAGTGGTGACCAGAAACTGCCAAAAGAAGCCATGGAGAGACACATGTTCTTATTGCCTTCTCAAAATATGGCTATCATTTCAATCTAGAAACTAAAGATTTAAGACTATTAAATTAGTGATAAATGCAGCCATTATCAGTAACCAAGGAAAGAATACAAATTCTGAAATGTTAGGTAAAGTCTTACTAAAGGAAGAGATTAAATGTAGAATGCCAATCCTATTCTAGGGTTTGATCCACTCCGGCTAGTTGTGACACGGTAGAGCACACGCCAAATCAGTACTGACTCCTCTTGGCGTCCAGGGAACGGGGATAATGGTCAGTGGACAAGGTCTTCCTCTGTATTTCCATATTTTAATCCCTCTCCCAGGCTCCATACCTTCCAAGTCATCAATTGTCTTTTCCAGCTTGGCTACCGATCTCTCAGCAAACTCAGCACGGGTCTCTGCCTAGGGGAAATAGGACACCAGTCAGAATCAGGGATGAGTAAGACAAGAGAAGAATGTCTTTACCTCTTCACTACCTACTTTTATACCTTTCAGAATCAAAGACAGGCAGTCTACATAATGCCTTATATACTTCTAAATGTTTGGGTACTTCCCCTCAGCTCACCTCCTTGAGTTTATCAGTAAGGATCTTTATCTCCTCCTCATATTTGTCTTCTTTTTGAGAGTACTGTAAAATAAGTAGAATAAAAATTTCAGAGTAGAAATTACAGACAATACCCTCCCCAGCCCCACATTTACTCTTACATTGAACATATCAGTCTTCCTGGGATTTAATGTGCTGAATGGTTGGTCCGTAAGAAAGACCAAGGCCCGTTTCTGGACAACAGGTCCTTAAAATCCACTAGTCAATGTCCTCAAAGCCATGCTACCCTTATTTTTTAAGTGGACCTGCGCTTTGATCTTATTCAGATCAACCCACTTAACGAGTAGGTACCGTGACACCCCAAGCCACATGGCTGAAATAGTCTCACAAGATGATAAAGACAAGTCTTATGTTTTGATTGCTTGGTAGGTCTCAATCTGATACTATCTGCTGCCCCCATCTGTCTGCTAGAAAACCTATTAGGACCCATGATTACTGCCATCTGGCACAGCAGTATCAGCCCGAGAACATGACTGCCAGGCATCTGAGACCATGAAGTTACTTTAACTAAAGCAATCAAAGTGCACAGGAATTAGCATTAAACCTAGAATCCAGATAGAAGGTAGGTATGGGTATGTAGGAAAAAATACTACTCAGTAGATAATGTAAGGAATGAGTTTCTTCAGTCTCTCATTAAGGGTAGGGCTGGGACCTGGCTGCTATGCCTCAGTAGATTGAGTGCTGGCTTATGAATCTAAGGGTCCCAGTGAGTGTGCATGCCTGGGTTGTAGGCCAGGTCCCCAGTAAGGAGCACACAAAAGGCAACCACACGTTGTATTTCTCTCCTTCTCTTTCTCCCTCCCTGCCCCCCCCTCTAAAAATAAATAAATAAAATCTTTTAAAAAAAGGGTAGGGCTGGGCCCAGGCCCCCAAAGCCTGTCACTTTCACAAACCAGCCCCTACCTTCTCCGCCTGAGCCTCAAGAGACTTGAGGTTGTTGGTGACATTCTTCAGCTCCTCCTCCAGCTCAGAACACTTACTGTGAATATTTTACATACCGCAGGAGAGGAAAGGGGAAGAAGAAAAGAATAAAAAAAAGGGGAGAGAGACACACAGACATGAATTGAACCTAAATGTAGAAAGAGTTGGAAGGCATACCAGGGAAAAGTGAAAGTCCCAGATAATCTGAGCAAGCACCAGCCCTCCTCCCTCTGCCACAGACCACGCCAGGAGCTGGACCGTCAGTGGGTTCAGACTCAGAATGTTTGGATACCGATAAAGAAAATTCTTGAGAAAAATCACTACCAGGAACAAGTCATAACTTCTACCTGGGGTGGAGGCAGGAACATATGCCCAACCCAAGAGTCCCCCAAATTGCCCAAGGAAAGGAAGAGACCCTGTGGAGAGGCAGTGAAGCAACCAGAAAAGAAAAGGAGAAAGATGCCAAGAAGTGGAAAAGAATGGAGCATTCCATGAGAGACGAGAAAGCACTCAACAAGTCAACCAGTGGAGGGGAGGAAGCTGCAAAACAAAAACAAGACCACACCATACATATAACCTCTCTGTGGTTAGTACCTTTTCTTCAGCAGCACTCAGACACTTCAGGGTCTGGTCCATCAGCCTGATCTGCTCATCCATCTCTCGGCAACGGCTGTTAGTGATAAGTCATGGGGATCGCACAAGCCAAGTTGTGGGGAGGGAGAAAGGTCAAAAGGGAACACAGCAAGAAAACAAGCAGCAAACAGGAAAAAAAATTTTTTTCAAAAAAAAATGGGAAGAAAACACCACAATGGTCATGGTATGTCATGTCTGAAGAGAGGGAAATGCAAGGTAAGCACAAATACATATGCACCAGCACTTTGTTACACAAGGCCCAGAAGGTGCCAACAGGGTAGCCATTCATGCCTGCCCTAGCCCTGAAGTTACCCAGCAACTTGGCAAAGTGGTAAAAACAGATAGACTTTAAAGTCAGTGCAGCAACCTCACTGTCTCAAGGGGAAACAGCCCCCCACTCCCAGATGGAAAAACCCAGTAAGGCCTTCCAGTTAACAGTTCACCATTTATTAGTCTTTATTTTCCCTCAACTTATATATAAACACTTTCTGCAAAAAATAAAAAAGACTGTCATTAGTCAAGAGTAAAGTCCAAAGCCATTCACGGGGCCTATAAAAGGACTACAGATAATGCCCACTCTCTAGGCCCTGTTTAACAAGGTTGAATGAATGCCTGCTTATTCACATTAGTGCCCAAGCCAAAGGGGAAGGGAGAGAATGTAGGGTAAAGATTTGGGGACCAAGATACTCACGACTCTGCCAGCTCAGCTCGTTCCTCTGTGCGTTCCAAATCTCCCTCAATAATCACCAACTTACGAGCCACCTACGGGAAGACCAAAGTACAGGTCAGCAAAGCAAAGGAAGAGCTATCTCCTCTCTCATGGTTCTTTTCAGAAGGCCAATGTTATTGACAAGGGAGAACAGACAAAGGTGTCTTACCTCTTCATACTTCCTGTCTGCCTCTTCTGCAATGTGCTTAGCTTCTTTGAGTTGGATTTCCTGGAGTTCCATCTTTTCTTCATCTTTTAATGCTCGGTTTTCAATAACCTTCATACCCCTGAGAGAAACAAACAGTTAGGACGAATGTGGCACCAACACTCTCAGGAATTTGTCATCAGCTTTACTCCAAGGGACCCAGAATGCACGTATAAACAACCATCTCGCGCCTTGACTGGTGTGGCTCAGCTGGAAGGGGAATCATCAAAGTTGCCAGTTCAATTGCCAGTCAGAGCATATGCCTAGGTCGTCAGCCAGGTCATCCGGTTGGGAGCATGCAAGAGGCAACTGATTGATGTTTCTCTCCCCCTCCTTCTCCTTCCCTTCTCCCCTCTCTAAAAATAAATAAAATCTTAAAAAGAAAAAAGACCATTCTTCTCTGCTACTCAAAAAGAATTCCCGTAACACCCCCACCTTAGTTCATTTTGTTTTAAATTTTTATAAAAATAACTCACATTCCGTGCGGTGTAATGTTTTTCCCTCTTTTTTCCTTAAAGATTAAATAATTTATTTTTACATTCCAAAACAATTAAGTATTTAAGTGGTAGTTAAAGGGCATAAAGTGAAAGTTAAATCTTTCTACGTCCAGTCCTGCTTATCGTAAGTAGTCACTTCTCAATTGTTCCAGAAGTGTTTTCCACACATAAGATGCAAAAACCTCATCTCCACTTTCCCACTGCGTAAAGGAATCATGTACTTCACTGTTCTGCAATTTGTTTTCTGTACTTTGTATAATTTGGACACTACTCTGTAACAGCACACACAGCAGGCTGTCTTGCTCATTTTTAAAGCTGCACTATGTTAACGTACTCCCAGTAGGGCCTTTTGAATTGTGAAAAGCCTCAGTTTGATCCCATACAAGACATCACATACCTGTTCTAGTTTAAGTCACATATGGCAAGCAGCCAAGTGGCTATTTTCAACAAAGATGAGTCGTGTTTTGGTTCAAGAACTATGCTTCTCAACCTTGAGCACACATTAAAATTATGGAGGAACTGTAAAACATCCATGTCAAGGCCCCTCCCACAATGGATTCTAAGTGAAATGGGGTGGGATCCAGGCATTCCGATATTCTAAAAGACCCCAGTGGTCCTCATCCCTGACTCCCACATGTCTAACAGTATAGCTGCCACATTTTATCACAACACTGACTGCTGGGCTCTACCTCCAGTTTCTGACTCACATATCAGGGTAGGGGCTGAGAATCTGAATTTCTACTAAATTCCCAGGTGCTGTTGGTGTGGAATCCCACTCTGAGAACCACTGTTTAGAGGGACTAATCTCACAAATAAGCTCATGATTCATTAAGTGGAGGTGATCCTAGTGATCCCATTTAAGAATCAATTCATAGAGAAACACCAATTATAAAAGGGTCCCAGGGTCCCAGTAACCCTGTCTCTCTTCAAGTGCAGAGAATACACAGAACAGAAGGAATGAGGATCGTGCAAGATAGCTAACTATTTTAAAAAGCAGGTCTGCCCTGGCTGGTGTAGCTCAATGGATCGAGCACAGGCCTGAGAACCAAAGGATAGTGGTTCTATTCCCAGTCAGGGCACACTGCCGGGTTGTAGGCCAGTTCCCAGCAGAAGACCCATGAGAGGCAACCATACACTGATATTTCTCTCCTTCTCTCCTTCCCTTCCCCTCTAAAAATAAATAAGTAAAATAAATAAAAAATAATAAATAATAAAAATAAAAAGCAGGTCTATAAGGAAATCTTGATTACAGCCATTATGAAATTTCTGTTGAAATGCACAGGTGCAAGCTTCACCACCCCCTCTACACACCTCTCACTTTCATCAGCAGCTTTCTCAGCTTCCTCCAGCTTTTGCAGGGCAGTGGCCAGGCGCTCCTGAGCACGGTCCAGCTCCTCTTCAACCAGCTGGATCCTACGGTTCAAGGAGGCCACCTCAGCCTCAGCCTGTGTTTGAACAGAATAGAAAAAGGAAGCAGAGGCACAGTGAAAAGGTTAGAACTAACTATGACAGTAAGACTGGGGTTGACTACCATGAAGGAAGCTAGAGTCAGGGTAGAACCTATCTCAGCTCTTAGCTGTAAGATCTGGCAGACATGATTTTATACACACTTGGCGCACACACAGGGCATTTCCCGCCTTCTGCCATCAAGAAACTCCTGGATGTTCATAGGAAGAGTGTTTTAAAGCTCAGTTCCTCATCTGGCCCAGTGTCAGTACTCCCCTTTCTGGACTCCGTTCAAATTCCTGATCACTCGAGTGTCAGAAACGGTAGCCAGTGAAGGGTTCCCACTGTCTTGAGTTCTGGCTTAGAGGTGTTCTCACACTTCAGTGACTTTCTTTAAGTGTCTCAAAAGGGGGGAAAAACAACCAAAATTTCTCAAACAGGGAATCTTGGATTATCTACCAATTTGTACTTAACTCAAATTGTTAACCTCTGATTACCCTACCCTAACCCACCAGAAGGATGACTAGCCAAGAGAATAATGTTTCCAAAATAACCTTCCAAATCAGAAAGTGAAAGAATGGTCCACTGGGTTATCTACTACTCCCTACCTTTTTAAAGTTGACAACAAGGAACTTCTTCTGGCTAAAATTACCTGCTTTGATGACATTTCAAAAAGAACTGGGGGACAAGAGAATGCCTTCTCCATGTCCACCACCAAGCCTCCAAATTTCTGAATTTTGACTCCTTTCTATTCCACTAGAGTCATGCCCTTAGCTTCATGGCCTCACCCTCCAAGTCCAGTTTAGGGCAATCCTCTCCCCGGCCTCCACCCTGTAATCAAACAGACTACAGTCCAAGAAATCCCATGCCTCCTCCTCAGTAATGGAATGGGAAACAGGAAACAGAGGCAGCCGCAGGTAGGTGAATTCTACGGGCAGAAAAGCCTCCCTCCTATGACTACCTTTTTCTTCCCCACACCTTTACTGGTGGCAAGTATGCCAACTGCCACAACCATAGAAGAATTTAATCTGCCCTGCACACTACCCAGTTCAGATGCTTATCCAAGTGCTTGGTAAACACGATCTCTCTTCTACAGCCCAGATTGTGCCTGAATTCTATTACCCTGATTTCCTCCTGGCAGTCAGGGGTGGGGGCAGCTACAGAAATAATCTGGGCCACTAGCCCCTATGGGGAAGGATATAGCCCAAAAGACTCCTGTTAAGAATCAGGTTATTTGACACAAAATTTCCAAATACAAACATGGGAGATTCAAGGGACCAGGCAGAGGCGAGATGGATATATAAGCACCAACCTATAGGAAAAGGAAATCGAGAAGTCTACATAAGCTGAATGTACTAAGAAACCACTTGTGTCTCTAACCATACAATTCAACCTACCACAAGGACAAGTATCCTCTGGCTGTGTCTCTTCCAGGAAAGCAGATGTGTCCTAGGACGACACCCATTTCACCCCATGAACCCAGAAAGTTGTGATCACAAGAACAGGCCAGCCTTTCAGGCAAGAACTATGAAGCACGGCCAGCATAATTCATCTCGCTGCCCTGCCCGCACCCCCATGCCTAGAACTTAAAAAAAAAAAACACCCAGATTTGGAAGAAAGTCATGTATATCAGTCCCCTTCCAGCTCACCAGTAGTTACCCAAAAGGAGCAGAAGATAACAGGCTATGGGGGCGGGGGTGCAAAATTTCCATGACAACAAGCTGGCTCTGGCAATTTCTCCCACAAATCAGTACTGACAATAGAATTCTTCTCAAGGCTGAAAAGGGAGGAGGAGAAAACACATTTTGGTGCCCCGGTGAGAGCATGTACATACTAAACAAGCCTGTGTCAAAAGAATAACCCAAGATGGGATGGGTGTCCCAGCACAAGCTTTCAGAGAGACACATGCCCCTTAGGGTGCAGTGGCTGTTCTCCCATTCTCACCGCCCCCCTCCCAAGGATCAGTTCTCTTTAAAATGAAACAAAAGCTTTGCTGAATCAGGATGTGTTACTATATTCAAAGGGAAAAGGAAAGACACCTGACTTTTCCTTCAAACCAGACCTATGCAAAATGCCTGTCAAAGTCCTGCCGAGAGACCAAACGGGACCAACTTCTGCAAACCAAAATGGGAAACATTAAGTTTTACGCTATTCTAATCACCCTAGGTGTAACATACCAGATGGGATTTTGATCATTTAGGCCCCCACCTCTGCCAGGCTTGGAGGATACACTCCGAGGTCCTTCCTATAGGTAATAATAGAATTCCCCACTGCCCAGGAAGCAAAGATCCCAAGAGGAAAGAAAGGGAAACAGCAGCAGTTCAGTCACAAGAGAAGATGGCTGACAACAGCTTCAGTGGTGAAATGAGTTTGGCTTAAATGCTACCATCCGCCATGCTAAAGAAGTTTCCCCACACCCCTTAAGGCAAGAAACCAAAACCAACAGGGTACTGGTGCTAGGAGTTAGATCAGGGCCAAGGACAGAAGGGGAATTAGCCTAAATCTGGCGTCCTGCTACTCTGGGGTTTGTCTTTTTAGACAAAAGCCACAGATAAAACTCAAAGGAAATGAGTAATGAAGTTAGGCTTGAGCCCTGAGAGTGAAGGACTGCTCCAGTTCACTGTGTTCACAAATATATCTAGCCTGGGAGATACCGTGTCCTTGGGGACTTTAATTTCACCAAGGGGAAGGCAAGCTGGAAGGGAACAGAGCTATCAGCCTCAGAGTAAACAAAGGTGGAGTCTAAATGGAGACACTCAGAGCAAAGGGCTATTTGCCTCTTCCCTATGAGTGTGTGCTCCAGGAGGGGGAAAAGTGAGGTAATCAGCAGGAAAGCAAATCTGAACCAAAGAAAGGTGATAAAACCTGTCACTTAGTCCTCCAGACCCCACATGTAGGAGGAAAACCACACAATAGCCATACATTCCGACCCCTCCAGAGACTAGGAATTTGGGAATATGGCCAGAATCGAAGCTCCTGCTCCGAGCCCACTGACCCCCTCAACAGCATTCCTGAAGTGTTCAGAACACAAAAAGAAGAGATGAACACCATGGGAGGTTAGGAGAGACATAAGGTGAACATTAGAATCAAAAGTGCTTAAAAAGGTAAAAGTTTGCACTGGCTGGTGTTGGATTAAGCATTGGTCAAGGACCAAAAGGTCGCCGGTTCAATTCCTAGTCAGGGCGCATGCCTGGGTGGTGGGCCAGGTCCCTATTTGGGGACGAACAAGAGGCAACCAGCTGATGTTTCTTTCACATAACAATGTTTCTCTCCCACCTCCCTAAAAATAGAAAAATAAAATCTTCTGAAAAATTGGTAAGTTTTATGTTGCACACACAGGGTCCAGTAGAAGTAACACCTGCTTGAGTATGGTAGGGTAATAACATGGATGTAGTAATCTGTAGTTTTAATTTGAACATTTCGCCTCAAATGTCATATGGTGTGCTTGAGTGTGATGTTGTTATAGAATTACATGCTTATGATTTTGTTATAAAAAAGGAGTGTTATTTGTGCCAGACCCTGTATTTTTAACACCATCACAGGAAAAAAATTTAAGGAAAAATGACTACATTTAAATATTATGTTGCCATCTGTTTAAGTTCAGCAAAGAGACTCAAAATTGAAAGTGGGCCCTGGCCAGATAATTCAGTTGGTTAGAGCATCATGGTGATAAGCCAAGGTCACAGGTTCCATCCCTGGTCAGGGCACATACAAGAAGAACTCAACCAATGAATGCATAAATGAGTGGAACAACAAGTCGATGCTTCTCCCCTCCCCCTTCACTCTCTCAAATCAATGTAAGAAAATTTTTAAAAAATTGAAAGTGGGTCTGTAGCACAAAATGCTACATTATAAAAGCTCAATCTCCATGCCAAAGGAAGACAAGATGGACCCCAGAACAACTCCAGAGCCTAGAGTCAGCCAGCTTCCCAACAAAGGCTGAATGTTCACACAAAGCAACTATAAAAATATTAAGTGACAATCTCACTAACAGCATGCCATCAGGGATGTGCAGAGCTTCTGGCACCAGAAAGAGGTGCCTGCAAAACCCACATTCCAGAATGTCCTAAGAGCGTAACAGGTAGCCCAAACACCCTACCACCACCCTTCCCACAGATGTCTCCTCCTCAGGAGGGGTTCAGAGTTCACTAGAACAGGAAATCAAAAGATTATTCTCCTTCAAGCTGGGGAGTAGAAGATACTAGTTTCATAAATATTTAACTATCACCCTACTTCCCTATCTGAGGACTTCCTCCCTAGACCTCAGTTCAGTAAGCAAATGTGACAGGCTCTGAGTGAGGGAGTAGCTAAAGAAACATCTGCAGCTGTCACCCCAAAGTCACAAGGGGGAAAAAGAGAGCCAGGTTTTCCTACAAGGAAAATTACCAAACCCTGGGAAGCATGGGGTGTGTGTATAAGGTATCAATCCATCCTAGACCTTTCCTAGGATGCCTATACTTACACGTTGAGCCTAAGGCTGAAGCTGAACAATTATGGCTACTTCCTTCAGCGGCCCTTTCTCTTCCCCTTTAAGGGCATCTGGTCTCCAGAACAAAGATGAGAAAGTGTCACTAGTTATAAAGTCACCCAGCCAGTCCATCTCATTGAGTTGATAATTAGAAGTTACTGGCAAAATGAACAGAGGGAAAATCCACTTAGAAAAAAAGTGACAAGCTCCCAGCATTTCCATGCCCAATTACAGAAAGAAATGAGTATTCTAACAATCTTTAAGTATTAACCTAGAAGGCAGCTGCCCCCACCCTTTTCCCCCTTAAAAAAAAAAAAACTCAACCACTCCCCAGAGCAGCAACCAAAAAGAAGGATAAAAAAAAAAAAAAAAAAAAAAAACCTACCAAGGGAAAAAACAACAGGGAATACCAATAAAACCATAAAAGTTCTTTCATTGGGTCTTCAAATTTTAGGAAGTTTCCACCCTCACAATCCTCCAAAACCAAAGCTTCAATTCAGGAGATCAGTTCCACCCACTAGACTGCACCCTAGAACTTGGAAAATCTTAAGGTTCACTAAAACTACTCCACCACTTCTAAACAGAAAGCAGTTTCAAGAATCACCATTCATTCCATCAATATTTTATGTTCCAACTTTCCATTGACAAATGTATTGAACTTAAAAGGCACTAGTAGATAATTAGGAAAGTAATACTACAAGAGCTCCCTAGGAACTCATCAGTCTGTCTCCATCAACCACAGTGCCTAGTCAACCAGAAACCTCGACAGAAGTTGGCACTCCATCCGATTCTCTGCCTCACACACTCGCTTATCAGCTCTGCTCGGAAGAAGTGTCCTTAACCGGTTCAGCCTGCACTGATCAATCACACTTCAGCAAAAAAGGCCTGAATGTGGCAGAACATCCTGCCTTCCAGGTCCTCATGGGTAGGGCCAGACAGTTTTTTAGGCTCCTACATTTGTACGGAGTGAAATACCACCTCCTCTCCTCCCGCTTCAAGTCGATTGAGAGTGGATTTAGTTGCTACCAGTGCTCCCGGTAAGAGGAAAGGGCCCCAGACCGGAGGATAGGAGGCGGTGCTGTGGCCTCAACCTCCTTCAGGGAGGGCGCCGCGCTTCCTCTCGGCCGGCTGCTGCCTCATTTCCTGAGCAGGAGGAGGGAGCGGAAAAGCTGCCAGCAGGCCAGACCGGGGGCTTTCCGGTGGTTCCCACCCCCAAGCCCCACCCTTTCACAGTAGGTTAGGCCCTGCCCACCCCCAGATCTGAGAAAAACCCACCTCTAACCCCTTGGGCCGGAAACCTCAAATGAGAGCAAAGTGCCCCCACCTCTTTACATGGAGGAGGGAAGGAGAGGCCGTTGAGCCCCTCCCCCCGGCCGCGCCCGGCTTTGGGGGACTGAATGAATGAGCTGGAAAAGGAAAAGGAAAATCACTTCCCAGGCCCCGTGAGGCTCAATTCCTTTGGAGGTCAAGGCTGCTCACCCGAGCACCCAGTTCCCCCTCGCCCAGTTGAGGTCCAACTGAAGCCAAGCCCCACCCATTCTCCGGGCTCCAACTTCATCCCGGAATCTACAATTCCCTTCAGGGCTGTACTCTACTGCAAATAAAGGGACCCAGTTCCGTGTCCCAGCTGTTCCAGCGCCTGCTCCTCCCTCACGCGCCCTGCTCTCTCGGTACCTGTTCCCGGGCCCGCCTTTCTCCCTCCACTTCCCGTTGGAGGCGCTCGGCCCTCTCCTCTGCATCATCGGCCTGTTGCTGCAGAACCTGGATCTTGCGTTTCACCGCCTCGATGGTGGTGATCCCGGCCATGGTGCCCAACCAGCTCCTGGTCCCTAACCAGCGCCTGGTCCCGCTCAACTTCCTGCCTCCTCCGCTCGGCGCTGCAGCAGCTCCTCACACTACTTCCGCCTGCTCCGCCCTGAAATACCGGAACTCACCCACGACCGGATGTGACGCAATCTCCGCCTCGCCCTCCCACCGCCAGGCAAGCGGGAAGATGGGCCACAGGAGGGAGCCCCGAGGCGAGGAGTAAGGGGCGGTGCCTCCCAGTCGCCCTAGGCGACACTCGCGGTCTTTTCCCTGGGCTAGTAAAGCGGGGCGGGGTTTGGAAAAAGAAAAGCTACCATGGTAACCCGAAGGCGCATGGTCTAGCTTCACTGGCCAGGCAGGCTGCCCACAATGGGTGGCCAACTGCTGTACGGCCCATACCCCCCGCCAATGCTGACCCAGCACCACCTAACCGCTAGGTCACCCTGTAGGTCTATACTCTAAATATGCTCCAAGCCTCTGCTTCCACTCATTCCACGCTGGCTACAAAACCAGGTGTTAAAAAAAAGCTTAGACTTTTGGGGCCTCGACTTCAAAAGAGCCTCAACTCAGCAACCTCCTTTTAAACCCAGCTCAGGTAGGTTCTCTCCCATCTCCTGAAAGTCAGTGAAGGAAAGTGTGGGTGTGGAAGAGATGGGCAGGTTGGCAAAGTTCTCATTCTGTTTGACATCACTTATGAACTTACGTTTTCTGCTTAGAATACTAGTCTTTCTCCTGTTACCTTATAGAGTCAATATGCACCTGCGATTTACCAACCTGCCAGCCCCTCTAAACCTTAAATGATTTGGGACTTGGTAATTAGTCATTGCTTACAATTCTCTTGCGGGTGAGGAAGATCTTATGTCCCCATTTTGTCAGGAAGGAATCCTCTGTGATGGACCACTGGAGCCAGATCTTTTGTGCAACAGCAAAACATGAGTGCCTGGAAAACTGTACTGGGAGACTGAGCCTCCATTCTGTGCTATAACCTTCACCAATTTCACCACAACTTCTGCTTCCAGGTACTCCAAGGAGCTATTTATGAGTTAGAAACTGCCCCTACAGGCACTGCCACGCAGGGTTTTTCAAAGCACAGTGGTAAACATACTTAAAAATTTTGTCTTGTCTTCCCACATTCCCAATAAATAATAGTAATAAGTCTCTCCTCTGTTGCAGCTCTCTTTTGCCTTAGAGAATTAGGGTGTGAAACAGGATTTGGAATTTTAAATCCTAGCCCCCGAAAGGATTAGTAGGTAAGATAATTGCTGCCCTCAGTGCCTGGTTCTAAGGATACTCCCTCTGGAGAGTCTGTCTTCCTATCTCCTTTTAGAAATACTGAGCAATGAGACTATTCAGAGGAAACAACTCAGACAGACAATAATTAGTTTTCTTGGTAGAGTAATCTGTATACTTTGATTTCCAGCCCAGGAATTGAGAAGGTAGAGAAGGTTTCTGAGCTTCAGTAAACTCTACCCTGATTGCCTAAGGGTTTTTCCTACTTTCTTCAGAGAAGTCTGTCCTCCGAGTGCTGGTCAGTAGAGGGTACTATTGTACCTCCCTTGGCCCTAGTGAAAAAGCAGACCTCATCTTAGACAAACCAAAGGGGGAGTTGAGAACAGCATGCATTCCTGAGGCTGTTAGATTTGAACAGATGGACAATTTTCTCTTGATCCAGGGAAACAGGTGTATTGACTCTGATAGCCTTTAAAAGCATGATGGATGGGCGGAATGGTATCCAGTGCTATTGTTTTCCTGGTGACCAACAACATGACAATATATCAACAGGTCTGTCCTTGTCCCTCCTCTCCCCATCCCTCCCATCTCCTGTTCTTAAAATAGGGTGTAATGACTCCATGTCATAAGCATTGCATTCCTCTTTGGCCTTATTTTACACTAATCAGTTTCTGATTTCATTTTGCATTGAAAGGACCTTAGACTTGATTACACAACAAAGCAATGTGAATGTTCTAACTGCCACTGAACTGTTTTTTAAATGGTTAAAATGGCCAATTTTATGTTATATACATTTTTCCACAATTTAAAAAAAGTTCATCTTAGGTGAACTCAGGAAAGAAAAAAGTTTGGACTAACCTTGCCATATCCTTGTCCTTTCTTTGTTCAAGCAGGCCTAGCAAATCCTATGCTTTCCAGCAAGGTTTCTCAGATAACCAGAACTCCCTGTATAAACATGCACTTATTGACTCTCTTCTCTCTTCCCTTTATCTACATCAAAGTAATATGCTCTGTTTACTAGTTCATTAATCTCAAGGGCAGAAACTGATCTGTGAACTTCCTTTGTATTGGACAAAGTACCCTCCCCCAAAAGAGGCATATATTATGTTGCTGATGACTGACCCTTCCTGGCTATTTTAAACCTTGTTGCCTTCTCCTTGTTCAGGGCTTTTCCAATTGCTCTAAACACCTCACTTTCCTTCTTTGACCCATTTGAGGAGGCAGGAGTCAGAAAATTTTTGTGTATAGGGCCAGATAGTAAACGTTTCTGGCTTTGTGGGCCATAAGGTGTGCTAACTACTCCCGTATAGGGAGAGAGCCAATAGACAATATGTAAGTGAATGGGCATGGCAATGTTCCAATAAAACTTTGTGTAAAACCAGGATTTAATACCTCACAGATGGCAGTTTGCTGACCCCAGCTTTAAGAAAAGAAACCTTTCTTCCTGGATCTTAACCAGACCTAAGAGATTTTTGCCTCCTGCCCTTGGCCTTCCTTTCCTATTTCTTGTTCTACATACCTCATATCTTTCAGGGTGCCTACTGACTTGGTGGGAAAGCTAACAAAGGCAAGAGAAGTTGAATGAGTTTCTTTTTTAACACAGAGTTTACATATTTAAATGGTTTTTGGCCCTGGCTGGTGTGGCTCAGTGGATTGAGTGCCCGCCTGCAAAGGGTTGCTGGTTGGATTCCCAGTCAGGGCACATGCCTGAGTGTAGGCCGGGTCCCAAGTAGGGGGAGTGCAAGAGGCAATCACACATGTTTCTCTCCCTCTCCTCTTTCTCCCTCCCTTTCCCTCTCTCTAAAAATAAATAAATAAAATCTTTTAAAAAGTTTTAAAATGGTTTTTGGTAGACTCCTATGTAAATATGAGGTTTTTCAAATGGATATATTCATTTTATATATATATTTGCTATACATATATGAGTATATGAAACAAATATACTGAGTATATAGATGGGGGAAGACCTGTGTGCGTGTACGGGCACATACATAAAACAGGTCAGAATTCATTCCCAGGAAATTCTGTATCTTTCCAATGATATTTACATATTGTCTAGAGCCTTTAGGTCACTCTCTCCCAAGATCCCAAGGTTAGACTTACTTATTTGTTCTCTTCATTGCTCCTGTAAACACCAGCTCAAGCCTACATACTATTTCAGCCTAAGGATTTTCCCAGAGATTTGTTGCTCAACATCTCACAACACTGTTATTAACCTGGCATTGTCCCAGTTTGCAAAAACTATCCCCATGCCTGTTTATTAGAACTGGAATGATCTATCCATTTATACCTAGAACCTAGGTTAGGCAACTACAGCAGGCCATCAAGCACTTGCCCAAAGCCCTAGGGGTAACCTGTGGGGTTTTGGGGGTGTTTTTTTGCAATTTTATGAGAAGGGTGAATCAATAGCTTGCAGTGGCATAACCTTGAGGAAATTATGAATATATGTAATATATATTATCTGCTTTGTGTCTCTGACCTCTGGCGTGGTGTATTTAACATCAATCACCACTTCCCCAGGCCGCTGAAAGTGGTGGAGAACCACAAAGGAGATCAGAAAGCTAACAGCAAAAATGCTAAGTGAGGATTTGAAAACATCTGTGAATGTCCCATTCTGTCTTTCTAGCTATTTTCCAAAACCAAATGTAATTTTTAAAAACACATGCTCTTATTTTTCTGTTTTTAAAAATTTATTGATTTCTTTAGAGAGAGGGGAAGGGGGAGAGAGAGAGAGAAGCATCTATTTGTTGTTCCATTTATTTATGCATTCATTAGTTGATTCTTATATGTGCCCTGACTGGGAATCAAATATAAACCTTCGTATATTGGAACAATGCTCTAATCAACCAAGCTATCTAGCCAGGGCCCTATTTTCCTATTAATTCAGTACTGAGAATAGACTATTTCCATCAACAGAGGACATTATTTTTGTTATTGCTGTTAAGATTCCTATGGTACTTTTCTATATAGTCTCTCATTTATTTTTGTGTTAAACTTCAAGGTCAAAGGTGAGGAAAGTAGGTGATTATGAAGAAAATAAAGTGGAAGGAGAATTTATCTTATTTTCAAATGGGAAAATTCAGCCCTAGAGAAGCTGAATAATTTGTCAAGACCACAGAGTAAGGTCTGGTGGCGATACCTTTACCCTCTAAGATAACCCAACATCTAAGATTCCCTCTTATTTCTATTACAGTCTGTCATTCTAAGGTCCTCTCTGCTGCCCCATGCACAATGCTGCCTATGGCATCTCCATAACAAAAGCAGATGTCCACCTTGGCCAAGATAAATAAACCCAGACAGGGCCAGGGTCAATGTGACCTTCTTTGTCCCATTATGAAATCTGAGCTGACTTTGCTGGGAAGTTAAGAGATGAGAGTTTCCCTATTAATACACATATCTACATGCCAAGCCTTGGAAACAAAAGCTAAGAATGTGGCATGGGGGAGGAGGTGGGATAAGTGATAGCAGTCTGGACTTAGAGTCCCTTCCCTTTGTCCAGGTCCTAGGAAAGATCATTAAATTCCTAGCTTGGAATGAGACAAAAAGGAAATACTTCTGTGTCTAAAGAAAGAAAGTATACACCATTACAAGGGTATGTCAGCATGTGATTATATGCAAAAATGTATGTGGGTATCTATGTCTTATATTCCATGAATTCACAAGTATATATATGTCCCAGTGTGTCTGCAACTTAGTCATATTAACATGAAGATCTTACATGTGTAGATGAAACCCACCCCCCACCTCTCTAATACTCACATCAGCTGCCTTCTTCTCTGCCAGCTCCAGCTTCTCCTGGGCATCCTTCAAGGCTTCAGAATACTTGTCCAGCTCATCTTCAGTCCCTTTCAGCTTTTTCTGCATAGCTGCCAGCTCATCTTCCAGCTATAGGAGCCCCAAGAGTCACACACAAGACATACACACACAACAATGCAGGCTCAGACCCTGGGATCTTCCTTACAGACTCCTCAGCTGAGCTTCTGCTTTATCTTCCCCAGAAAGACATACTTTCTCTCTAGTCACTTCCAGCCAACTGCCCCAGGAATTATGCTGGCTTTGGCCAATGACCCAGTTATCTCTGATCCTAAGATGATCAAATCATGCTGGGTTTCTAAGACTCTGGGATAATAAATACATTAATGTATAGGTGCCTATAATTCCATCTAAGGGCAGAGAGATGGTACATGCCAAGCTCCCACCTTTTCCTTTAGAAAAGTGTTCTTCCAAAATGTGATCTACTCCCGCTTAAATCCAGGAGACTCACTGTATCTCAGAAGGGGCCACTGAGTTTCCCAAGATCACACAAGTAGCCTGAGTCAAGTACCCTAGTTGTCTTCTGCCTGTCCAGTAAGCCTGGGGAAGCATATGAGTTTCTCCCACCCAAATAAGGAGCTGGTACCAATGGCCACTGCCTTTTCCATGAAAATTCTACCATTGCACAGTCTTGCTCACCAGTAAGTGAGAGACACCGGTGCCAGTGCCTACCTGTTTGCTTCTTTCTTCTGCCTGCTTTTGCTCAGCTTCAGCTTGCTCTGCCCGATCCAGAGCATTCTCCTTGTCCAGCTTCAGCATCTGCATTTTTTTCTTGATGGCCTCCATCCTGAGCAGTGACTGTTGGTGAGCTCACCTGTGAACACGGGGAACTGGAGACGAGGGCAAAAAAGGAGGTGCTGCTGGCTGAGTGACTAGGAATCCCCCAGACTTGAGCCTTTATCTCTGCTCATGGCTCCACCTCTTGTTCCTAATATGGTCCTTCAGGCTCCTTCCAGTCCATCATTGTTCTCCAGGGGGAACACAGGGTGAGACTTTGATGAACTGACATCACCAGCAAAGAAAAAAATTGAGAACAGCTGAGGCTGAGTTTAGACAATGGAAAGTGGGGGAGGGGACAGGCTCATGCTGACCTGAAACTTTCCACTCACTCTGGGAAGCTCTATGGGTGTTCTAAAAGAGCAGGGATCAGTGAGGGGAAGAACACTAAAATAGAAGAGGGTACTTTGGCAATTCTAGAATGATAGTTTTCACTCAGAGGGTCCTAGTTGCTCTGCAATTTCCTCTTACCCTCACCTGGACTGTGTTGGATCTGATCAAATTCCATTGATTGGGTTTTACCTTTTGATTCCTGGTATTTAAGAAACTTGAGTAACAGTGAAAGGGGAGATCACTCATGATCCTTGACAATTCCCCCAGATCCCCTAGATCAAATTACTGTGTTATTTCAAGAGTCTATTTGGCAGGGAGACATGTTCCTCCCCCTTAAGAGCCACAGGGGAGGAGTAGCAGGGCAGGGTCAAGATCTGAAAGGCCATCCCAGAGCTTCAGGTGGGGAGGTGGAGAGAATCAGGGCAAGGTCAGAGCAATCCAGATAGGATCATGTCCTCTTTCCCCTTAGTGATCTTTAAATAGAGTACCCACACAGAGCAAGATCTGTATCACTCCCTCTCTTCTCACCCTCTGCTCCCTTCAGGTCCTCCACCCCCACCGTGCACACACTCATCATTCTAATCATCATTACCAGTTCTGTTCTCCCCAGCTTAGTTCCAGGCCATGCTCATTCTTCCGCTTGGACTTGGAGCCTTGTTATTGACAAGTGGCAGTTGGTTCCAGTATACTGGCACTGTGCAATCTGAGAATATACCAGGGGAGGGGGAGACACTCTTCAAGGTGACCAGAGCTATGAGGGAAGGATATAAGTGGCTCTCATTTGTCATTATGTCACGAACAGATGGGTAATGTTAATACTAAGCTCCAGCAAAAATGGGGAAACTGAGGCAGAAGGCAAAACTGGAGTCTACTCTTGAGAGCTTCCAGTCAGTAGAGGTAGGTGGCAGATAGGCCACCATCAGCTGACTCTAGAAGGAAAGGGAAACCAAAGACTCCTACTGTGGGACTAAGGAGCAAGACAGTCCCAGGGTCAGGAAGTGATGGGTAACAAAGGTGGCGGGGGTTAGACACTGGATAAAGAGGAGGAAAACACAAGTACAGTAGAGGATCAGAGATATATTGCTTTTGGTACAAGGGGAAGATATAGGACAATTTTTTTTCTTAAAGATTTTCTTTATTTATTTTTAGAGAGGGGAAGGGAAGAAGAAAGAGAGGGAGAGAATCATCAGTGTGTGGTTGCCTCTCACACACCCACTCCTGGGGACCTGGCCTGCAATACAGGCATGTGCCCTGACTAGGAATCAAACTGGCGACCCTTTGGTTTACTGGCTGGTGCTCAGTCCACTGAACCACACCAGCCAGGGCAAGATACAGGAAGATCTGATACTCAGATAAATGCCACCTCTCTCCTGCTATCACACCAGCCCTCCAGCTTAAGACTGAAATCCATGTAGGCTGTTCCCAAAGGGGTTCTGGAGAGAACAGGTTTGGTAAAAAAGATAGAAGCCCCAGGGCCCCAGAGGTAGGAGGCAGTGTGATGCCAAATTGCCCACTGCTGTAAGAATATGTTTGACATTCAGTTGGTTCCTATTAAACAACCCAATATCAAACATATCACACAGAAACAGGCAGGAGAGCTTTGGTGGTCATCTGCCTCTTCCCCACAGAAAAGAAAGGACAGAGAAGAGACACCAGGTACCAAGCATGGCTAGATGAGGGCCATCTCCTTGGGGAAGGGCACTGACTCCTTTTGCCTCCCAAGACAGCCTGTTCTTACTTCTCTGACCTTCGTGCCATCCCTGTCTCAGCTCCTCTCTTACCAATGCCTGGCCTTTGCTACATCACGTTGGCCTAAACCAGGAAGGACATCTGGCAGGGCTCCATATCCGGGCACCTATCCTTCCCAAAAGCTCCCACTCACTTTCTCCCCCTGATGTCACGGCCCCAGCACACAGAGGATCAGGAGTGTTAGCAGCTCCTTGTCAGCCTTGCCACCTGCTCTCTTCAACTCCCTTCCAGCTGTCCTGGGGCTTTTTGGGGGCAAGGCACGGGGGACTTGCACATCCCACTTTATCCTTCCAGCAGAACTCCTAACCTTTCCAAATCACTTCCACAAGACGGCTGAAGGCCTTCCAGTGGACATCATTCTGGAACCTTTCTGCTCTTAAGTACTACAGACAAGTAGTTTGAAAAGTCAGAAACTTCTAGAATGCTTGGCTGTTTCTTCCCATCATTTTGTCCCTTCTCACCTTCTCCCCATGTCCTCCAGGCATCCTCCTTAAAGTCACCCTTGGATGTCCAGAAGAGAAGAGTGACCTGTCTTACTGGCAGGCTCCAGCCTGGGCTCCAAAGAAGATTTGTGGTCTCCTCTGCCTGGCTAATTGAAACTAAGACTTTGGAAGATCAAAGGTAATGGAGGAAACCCCCTCTGTCAGGAAGCAACCTGCAGTCCTTAGGACTCTCCTTTCCGGAGGCATTTTACAGCTCCTGGGGTGGGTGCTCTAAGGGTCTTCCAGCCTCCTTACTTCCTGGGAGATCTTTCTTCTGAAGAGAATTAGGTCTGTTGAATGTCATGTGGCACGCAGATGCTTCTTTCTACTGTGGCAGAGAGGAGCCCAAGTTATAGCTGCACTGGGGGGCTTGGGTGGAGTCTGGGTGTGGGAGGAGGATGCTCTGCTTTAGCCCCAAGGCCTGTTCCATGTGCCCTTGTTCCCATTAGTCTGAACGCCCTCCTCCCTCCACACACACACATATACCAATTCCACAGTGCCCTTGATGTAAATCAATAGCTTGTCCCAAGCCCCAGTCAATTCCTGTTGTGTGGTGCTTGCCTTCCAGGCGAAGACTAACAAATGGGTATATAAGCCTCAAGGTAGGCTCCTGTCTACTGTCCTTGCTCCTTTACAGCTCTCAGTGTGGGGTTGTGTGTAATTGTTACTTTCCTTCCTTTTTACCCTTACTCTGTAAGTTGTAGTTCTCTTCTCTGGGAAACTTTAACCATCTGGAGAGCCAGAGGCTGAAGGGAGAGGCTGGGAAAAGGACTAGCGGGAGTTGAAAGGACTTCAGTGTTTGGGGCACTAGGAGAACAGAAGGCAAAGACAGGAATATTGATGTAGGAGAGTAACAGCTCTCTCAAAAGGAGACTCTGGATGGCATAACTAGGCAGAAACATCACATGGCCTCTGATGAAAGCTTCCTAGCTCTACTGGGAGTTACTGTCTATGCAGCTATTTCAAACAAGGTTAGGCCATTCTAAACCAGAGGAGCTGGATAAGGCACCAATCAGAGGGAAAAGGGACTGGATGGGTATGATAGGGTGAACTACTCAGCTGATATAATGAGAACAGACAGACTAGGCAAAGAGAATCAGAGGCCATGGGCTCTGTAGGGGGCCAGCCTGCCAATACAGGAGCCAGCCTGGCACTGACAAGCCCTGGGGAGAAAGGCCAAGGTCAGAGATCACAGCAGAGGGGGTGGGGTATTCTGTGGGTCCTAATGAACAGAGGAAAGAAAAATAAAAAGGGGTTGTGAGGAACTGTGGTGGGAGGTGAGAGGTGGCCTTTAATGGAGAATAAAAAGGAAAACTTATTGTGGGGTAGAATGAGGGTTAAAAAAGTAATTTCCCTTTTTAAGGTCTCCCATCAGACTGTCAGCGGATTTCTCAAAAGAGACCTTACAGGCAAGAAGGGGCTGGAAAGAGGTATTCCAAGTCATGAAATCCAAAGACCTACAACCAAGATCGCTCTATCCAGCAAAGCTTTCATTTAGAATGGAAGGGCAGACAAAGTGCTTCTCTGATAAGGTCAAGTTGAAGGAGTTCATCATCACCAAGCCCTTATTATATGAAATGTTAAAGGGACTTATCTAAGAAAAAGAAGTTAAAGAAACATGAACAGTGAAAGGACAACAAACTCACAGTTATTAACAGGCACACCTAAAACGAAAGCAAACTAAAAGGACAGCTAGATCAGGAGTGGAAACATAGAAATGAAGATCTCAAGGAGGGTTAGCAACAGGGGAGTGGGAGGAGGAAGGGGGAAGAAGGTACAGAAAATAAGTAGCATAGACAGTAGATAGAAAATAGATGGGGGGGCAAGAATAGCATGGGAAATATAGAATCTAAAGGACTTGAGACACATGGTCATAAACTAAAGGCGGGGTAATGGTGGGGATGGGGGGTAGGGTGTAGGGGAATGAAAGGGGGAATAGAACAACTGTAACAGCATAATCAATAAAAAAATTTTTAAAAAAAGTAATTTCCCTCTTACCTTCTAAGTCTAGCTGAGCTGATAAATTGACAGAGACAGGTTAACAGGGAAAAATATCCAAAGTTTATTATACAAATGCAAATGGGGGGGGTGCCATAAGAATGAGACCAGAAACACACTGGGCAGTTGAGGCTTACATGCCATTTTGGACAAAAAAAAAGGAGCAGGGGTCTGGGATTTCATGTGGGAAAAACAGGCAATTTACAGGTAGGTAAGAAGAGTGGACACACTGGGAAATGGATTTTACACAGGGGAATCTAGTCAACAGGCCTCTGGATCCTTCCTATCTAATGCTAAGGTGCATATGCTAAGATTTCCTTCTGAGAGCAACTTTTCCATCCATATATCTTAGGCAGGAAAAGGGGGAGAGTCAAAGGTTCTTTCTGAGTTTCTTGTTTCATAATGATCAGCTTATAGTCAATATCCCTAAAGACACATTTTGAGTAGCAAAAGTTTCATCCCCTTCAACAGGAAAATGTCATTTTCGGTTACTATTTATTGGACAGTATGTACCACCCCTCTGCTAAATGCTTTATTTAATCTCCACAAGCAACCCGAAAAGGTAGACATCATTCTGTGACTAGAAAGTTAAAGCAACTTGTTTAAGGCCACACAGGCAGTGACAGATCCGAGATTCAAACCCAGACATGTTGCGTTAAAGCCTCTTCTCCTAACGCCAGGCTATGTTGCCTGTAAGAGACAGAGGGCAACGGAGAGATTCGAGATGAAAGAAGTGAAGGCGTGATGGACCTCCTGGGAACCAAGGGCAGGGGAACAGGCGGAAGAAACGGGAGACCGTCTCAGGCTTGTGCTTTGAACCCAGGCCCTGTGCATGTGGTTCCATCCTCTATAAAACTCCTCATACCTGTCATTACTTGTTCATCGCCCGCCTCCCCACCAGCCTGTGAGCTCCACGTCTTGCTTAGTGAAGACCTCATGAGTAGTTACTGACTATAGATAAGAGGGCTTGGGAAACAGGGCTGATGGGGGCTAGAGGATGAATGAGTGGATATATAGGACAGAGATGGAGACAATAATAGAATGGAGAATTACATCTAAGCTGTATAAAGGGATTAACATGGGAACTGTGACATGCCTGGGCTGCAGGGAATCTCTCGAGAGGGAAAAGGGGGTATACTTACTGTATGCCAAGCACTGGGCTTGCTCTCCACCTATGTTATCTTATTTAATCCTCTTAATGTCTTTATGCAGTGGGTATTGTTCCCATTTTCAGAAGAGAAAATTGAGGCTCAGAGAACTAACTTACAAATGGTAACAGTTAGGGGAATCTAGACTTTGAATCCACACCTCACTTCCAACCCATGCTCTTCCCTCTGTACCCTGCTACTTCTCTGTGCTCATCAGTACAGTATGTAGGGAACAGGAAAGAGCAGCTCTGAGAGTTGACATAAAAATATATACATTGGGTGATGGAGATAGACTTGTGGGAAAAGGGAAAGAAAAACTGAGTTTTGCAGTGGAGACATAGCCACAAGAAGTTGAGGGCAGGAAAAGATCAACATGAAAGGACGAATGACCAATTTGGATGTAGAAGCAAGGTGAGAGAATAGGAAAAAGCATTTGAGAGTGATTACATCAGAGAGTGATGATGTGCTGAGGCAACTGTTACTGACTTTGAAATGGGGGTCTCTCCATAGATAATGGTTCCCAAAGGGAAAGGGGTGGGAAATGGAAGTTTTATTTTATTTTTAGATTTTTATTCATTTACCCCTAGACAGAGGGGAAGGGAAGGAGAGAGGGAGAGAAATATCAATGTGTGGTTGCCTCTCATGCACCCCCACTGGGGACCTGGCTCACAACTCAGGAATGTATCCTGACTGGGAATTGAACCAGCAACCCTTTGATTCACAGGCTGTGCTCAATCCACTGAGCTGCACCATTACACCAACCAGGGTTATTTTATTTTTTAAAGGGGGGGGCCACGGTTTCTCTGGTTTAGGATGTCATTTGAATGTAAAGTGACTCTTTACATACATTTGTATTAAAGCAAGGTATATATATATATATATATATATATATATATATATATATATATATATATATATATATATATTGCTTTTCCAGTTTTGTTTTTCAAATTTTGAATGTCTTTAGATTTATTGCTCTTTCCAGTCCCTATAAATTCCACAACTACTTATTTCCTTACATCTGTTATATTACCTGCCTGATCTCTGAAGGCATTTGAGAATGGAACCCTGTCATTTTGCAGAGGTGTGAATGCAAGCTCAGAAAAAAGAGACTTATCCGAATATCCATAACTGCCTGGCTGAAAACCTAAAACCCAGACCTCCTGATACTCAAGCACCACAGTGCCTGTCGGTTGATAGCTACATTCGGAGTTATCTGTCCAAGTGTACAGAAAAAAATCATTGTAGGTGAGATCTGAGAGGTGGTGAGCAAATCCAAGAAGTTAGATATTTAGACAACAGTGAATGAGCACTTTTGAAATAAATCAAGATTTAGGACTGCAAGAATGAGCCAAGTGGTCTAAGTATAAACCTTACAGGGGTGTCCAATGTTCTGGCACCTCAGCCACACTGGAATAAGAGTTGTCTCAGGCCACACATTAAATACACTGCAACACGTATTCACAGGAAAATCTCTTTATGTTTTAAGTAAATTTACGATTTTGTGTTGGGCTACATTCATAGCCATGCTGAGCCACGAGTTGCATACCCCTGCAAGAGTTTAAGAGCTAGCTTTTAGCCCTGGCTGGTGTAGCTCAGTGGATTGAGCACGGGCCTGTGAAGCAAAGGATCACTGGTTCGATTCCCAGTCAGGGCACATGCCTGGGTTGCAGGCCAGGTCCTCAGTAGGGGACACATGAGAGGCAACCACACACTGATGTTTCTCTCCCACTCCTCCTTCCCTCCCCCTCTCTAAAAATAAAAAATAAATAAAAAGAGTTTAAGAGCTAGCTTCATTTGTTAAACCAAATCAGGATTCTCTCCCATTGTCCATCTCTCCACTTCCCCTCCCCACACTTACATCAACACTGCATATCTCATTCTGACCACAAGGTGTCACTCTTGTTTTCACCACTGTTTTATAGATTGTTTTCCAAATAGCATCAGGGCTTCAGAGGTGTGAGTGGGCAGGGGACTAGCTCCAGGTGTGTTTTGGAAAAGAAGTTCCAGGTGGTAGGGGCTCAAGAAGGGCAGGTTACTGGGCATGATGAAAATGAAAGGACAGTGTTTCAGGTGGTATCAGAGTCTCTCCACATAAAAAGCTTTGCCCATCTGATTTAGTTCCTGCTGGTACTGCTGATGCTCCTTTTCAAACAGTTGGTGCAGGGCAGCCTGTCGAACCTGATGGGGAGGGCAGAAGAAAGTATGATATTTGCTATCTATTTCCTCCCCACTCCCTTTCTTATTTTCTTCCCCACCCCCCTTTCTCCCTCTCTTTCCCAGGTTGCTTTTCCATCACTCTATCATGTTCTCTTGGATCTGGACTTAAGCTGTGACATAAAGAAAGTCAGCTAAGAGGCAACACCATCGGAGGAGAAGCCAATTTTTCTCCAGGAGTGAAGCCCCATGTTCAGCAAATATTTGCTGAGAACATACCATGAACCAGGAACTCTGCCAGGCACTTGGGATACAAAGATGGTGACATGACAGCAACCGAAGACCCCAGAGTCTCACAAGATGAGGGCAAGACTGAACTTTGGAACTATGTGATGTTCCATCCTCAGTTGAATGCAAAGAATCTCAACAAAAAAAGAGTTTAGGCATTTAGAATTAAAGAATTCATGCTCTGGTGTAAAAGTGAAAACCTTAGAGGAAAACACAATGGGATAAGTAACGGCAGAAACTAAAAGCTTGGGAATCCCAATGGGCATAGGCACAGAAAATAATGGATGAGACTTAAGGTCACTCTTGCTAGAACTCACCATCAGTAGTTGCTTGTTTGCCAGTGCCAGCTCCTGTACCATGATATCCCTCATCCTTAGGGTGGCATAAGGGTTTCTCCTCTGGCTCAGTGTCATCTGCCACAGACAGTGAGTGTGTGAATTTCGCCACCTGCCCCAGGTATATAAATGGATTAGAGTTAGGAGTGGAGACAAAAACCCTGTCAGTGAGGTTGCTTCACCAAAAGCCTCTGTAGGAGTCAGAAGACTGCAGACTCCTTGAAAGGGTAAGTAGAATTGGTTTAAAACCTATCAAGTACATTATATTCTTTAATCATCATAAAAACCATGTGTCACAGATATTAATTTTTGCTTTATACAGACAAGGAAACTAAAAGTTCAGGTGAATTGCCCAAGTTAACTTAATGGCAGACCTGGGTATCAAATCCAATCTAAGAATTAATTCCTTCCATCATACCGGTCATTCTCAACCCTGGCTAGACACATTTTGGAATGATTTGTTAAGGTTTTTAATACATAAAGGAAATATACATATATATCATATAGTGTGTACCCTTTGCTCAGATGACCCCATGGAGTTTTTAAAAATCAAGTATTGTTTACAGATGAGTAGAAAATTAAATCCATACAGAAATAAATAAAAAGCAAAAGCTTCATTTGTCTGCCCTAGGCCTTCTCAAGTTACCAGTTTCATGTCTCTCTAGAAAAGTATTTTAATATACCAGTATCTTTCTTTTACATAAAATCATATTTATATAAGCAGTATTGCTTAACAAGTTGGACTTTTCACATCAGCACAGAGATTTCCTTCATTCTATTTAAAGGCTGCCTAGTATTTTTGTATCATACTATAATTAGCTGGGTGATTTTGTTTTCACTTTTTAAAACAGTGCTGTTATGGATATGCTTATGTATATACATTCTAGTACTTCTGCAGGTAAATTCCTAGGAGTTGCCAGTTCAAAGGGTATGTGAAATTGAAATTGGTCAATTTCATCAAACTGCCTTTGTAAAAAAGGCTACCTTAAACTTAAATCCCACTAAAATTGTATGCATACTTGTTATCTTAAATCCTTGCTATCTCTGGGTATACCTGTGAAACCTTAAAAGAAGTCTTATCCTATCCAATCCTGGACCATTTTAGTCATAACTTCTGGGTTTAAGACCTAAGTATGTGTTTTATAAAAAGTTCCTCCAAGAACCTGGCTGGTGTAGCTTAGTGGATTGAACGAGGGCCTGCAAACCAAAGGGTCACGGGTTCAATCCCCAGTCAGGGCACATGCCTGGGTTGCAGACCAGGTCCCCAGTTGGGACCTGCAAAAGCAACCACACATTGATGTTTCTTTCTCCCTCCCTTCCCCTCTCTCTAAAAATAAAATCTTAACCCCAGATAAAGGAAATAGAGCCCGGTCTTTTCAGTTTTCTCATTCATTCAACAAATACTGCATCCCTACCACATGATTAGTACAATGGCAGGCAACAACTACTTGCTCCAATTTTCCTTTAGAGAATGGTAAGCAAAGGGCAATAAAAACCATTGTCTATACAGCCTAACCTAGCAGGCACTAGGAAGCTGATCTCTGCTAGTGAGATCAGAGCTGCTTCTGGCACCCCCCATACCTGCCTTCCTTACTGATGAGCCCCTAGCAAGATGAAGCAGAGCTGAGAGGTGGCTCAAGAACAAGAGGGTAAAAGGTCAAGCTGAAAGGTAAGGGAAGAAATAGAGATTACCTGTCAACCATCTTCTGAAGTCCCATGGACCTTTGAAAACTCTGCAAGAAAAGGCGGTTATGATCCGTCTTTATCTCCAGTACCTCACCCCCAGTACCTTACTCTAGTGGAGTTAAGATCTCTTTCGAGGGGTCAGTTTTCTAAGGAAGGTGGGAAGCTAGCTCTGCTCTTTTCAGAATGGATCAAAGGGAACAGGTAGGGGTTGGTATGGCATAAATACCTGAATACCTACTATATGCCAGAGGTAGTCTCCCATTCCTGTTACATCAAGGGCCTCTCTCACAAACCTCAAGGGAAATCCCCCCTACCCAACCCCTCCTCCCAGTTCTGCATACCTCTTCTACCTTTGTCCCCTTATCCGTAGACATGTCTACAGACTTGCTTGATATGGTCTTGGGAGACTAAGCATGGTTTGGTTCAGTCACCAAGGTTTCAGTTGTCATAGCAACATTTCTGCTTCCAACAATGACCCTTCTAGTTGATTGGTCACCTGGCCTGCTGCCCTGGAGTTCTGAAAGGAATCCTGGTTCTCCAGATGTCTATTAGTGACACAGGCGATCAATCTTACAAGCAAGAAACACAGTCCCAATTTTAGGATTTCTTCTGTTGGGATCCCATGCAGTACCTATACGGTACCCAGTCCTAGCTACTTTACCTAAAGGCAAATCCTCATGCTGTACCCTATTACGTGGGTGCAGAGAACATATCATATGCCTGGTTTCACTAAAAAGCAACTGTAAATGAATTAATCATATACTTTATTGTTTAATTATTCATTTTATTAACTTGTGAAGTCAGACCAGTGCATCAGTCTGACCATTCTTGTTCTGTCATCTTGATTCTCTCACCGTTGGGATTATTTATAGTCTGGACAAGGGCAGATGAATTATGATCAAATCCAAGTGAGGATTGTTTAAGGAAGCTTGACAGAAACATTGAGAAAAATATCTGAATTCAATTCCAGAAAAAAGGGCTACCAAGGGAAAGTAAAAGTCTTAATTGATGTTTTGAAACTGGCCATAAGAAAGGTTTGGAGAATGATCCTCTAGGCATAAGCTCTAAGACCTCTGGACACAATGTGAGCTTCAGCTGATCCAATCTGGACATGCCGAGCCAGAGGAGGGCCTGGCAAGCACAATTCAGTCTCTCTGCCTCCATCAACAGCAAGAGTCCTTTTGCATGATCACAGAGTACTCTCCAGTGTGTTATAGTTGTCCTTAAAGCTCTTCAATTCAAGGAAGTGCTTGGCACGTTTGCTCTTCTGACTGGAGGGGAGGTATGTCACCTGGATGGTTGTTGGAGAAACTTCAGGAGACTGGGTTAGGTCTTTGGCTGCTGACTGATGTTGTCGCTGTGAGTTCCCACTTTGTGCTTTGACCCTGAAGAAAATAGAGGGCAGACTGTGACAAACATGATAAGGACTAATGGAAGAATACAATTCAAGGCTCATCCATCCCATAAGTGCAGCTGTAGCCACAAATGGTCTTTTGTCCTATCTTATAAACTAGCTACTAAAATCCCATCTGGTAGCTTAGAAATACCAGAGAAACCAATTTTCCCACTGGGTTCCTGTCTCTGGCTCAACCTTTTCATCTCATTATGCTTAAGAACTTTTCATTCTTATTAGTCACCTAATGTGTGTTAATATACTCCCAGCCCAGAGTTGTGCTTGTAATTGGAGTATCAAACAGTAAGAAGAAAAGTACTACTACCACTTACACGTTAGGACATTGACCTTTGTGCTTTACCAACATCTAATTTACTAACATCCCAATATCCCTTCATGGTGTTATTACCACCATTTTGCAGGGAGGATACTGAGGGTCCATTAAGTAACCTGCTTGATGTCACAAAGCTGGTATGTGACAGAAAGCTGGGAGTTGATCTAAGTTGGTCAGATTTCAGAGCTTGTATTATTTTCACTGTACCCACTGAACCTTTCTAGAAGCTAGAAATCAGAGACTAAATTAAAAAAATGTAGTAAACAAACATAAAATTTGCCATCTTACTGTTAAATGTTTACAATTCAGTAGTGTTAAGTACATTCACACTGCCATGCAATCGATCTCCAGAATTCAACTTGAAAAACTCTATCTACTAAACAACTCCCTATTCTCCCTTCCCTTCAGCCCCTGGCATCTAATGATCTCCTTTCTATCTCTATGAATTTGACCACTCTGGGCATCTCAAGTTAAGTGGAATCCTATGGTATTTTTCTTTCAAAAAAAAAAAAAAAACAAAAAAAAAAATTTTGAACAGGCCTTCTGCGTGACTTCTAGACTAAATACCATTTTCCATCCTCTCCGCATGTTCTTTCCCATGTAAGTAGTTTCTGCTAGGACCGTTTATCTTTAGAAACAATGTAGTTTATTTTTAAGGACAGAAAAAAAGTAGGACATACACACTATCGTTTCAGAAGATCCATATTCAACATAGCAGAAAATGTGTATTCTTTTTTTAAATTTAAATATATTTTTTAAACTTTACAATTCTTTCTTTTCATGGCTGTTAACTTTTTATTTTAGATTGGATTTCCCTCTTTACCCTTTCATTTTAACATTTGCACAAATGACCTAATGAAGCTATGTTAGTACTTATTTAAAACATTCTCAGACAAAAATCGTGATTCCTTTCGGCAGTGATGTCCTTTGTTTCAAAAGAGGGTTACTAACACTTGAAGTGGTTAAAAAAAAAAAAAGGGTGGCATTTCATTCTTATTTTTCTCAGACCAAGACACATTGAAGAGGACCCTGGAAGAGAAGGAATCTTTGTGTGTTGAAAAACTTTAATACCAATTCTGACATTTTACAGAGCTGGGTCAAAAACAAGAAAAAAAAAGGTGCACAGAAGTAGAAGCTTCCCTTATTAGCTTGTAGAGCAGCATCTGCTTTCCAATGTGAGTGAAAGGCAGTACTAATAGTCTAGGGCAGGAGTGGCAAACTCATTCTCACTGGGGCAGCCTCAAGATTGCCTTCAAAGGGCTGAATGTAATTTTAGGACTGTATAAATGCAACTACTCCTTAACAGTTAAGTGAGAGCTTGGTGCTGCCACCGGGTAGAAACAAGGTGCTAGGCCAGATAAAACAACGTGGAGGGCCAGATTTGGCCAGCAGGCCTTATGTCTGCTACTTGTGATCTAGGACCTAACAACTTTTATGTTATTATGGCATTTGTTCCTATTGTTTTATGAAAGCCACCTCACTGTGGGAACAGTCCAGCTGTATTCTCTAACCAGTTCTTCTGTGTATTGTGACATGTTTGTTCCTCTTTAAACTCACACTGTGGCCAGCTCACTCAGAGCCTCCTGATAGCGCAGGTATTCTCTCTGGCCAAAGACCTGAGGGAAAAGAAAGGAAGAGTGAGGCTCTCTTAGTCTGGGATTCTAGTTCCCTGAAGGAAAAAGTGGCCACACAACTTACCCCTGTCCCATAGCGGGCTGTCTCATAGCCATCCAGCAGGGTATCAATGAGGGCCTTGCGCACACCCTTGAAAGGAGTACTAGTGTTTCGAAGATCTAGCAGGTAGGAGCGAAAATTCTTGCCCAGTAAGGAACGGGGATGCCGGCCTTCAGCATGAAATGGGATCTCTGAGAAGATAAACAGCACAATGATACCCCTTCTCCCATTTGTTAGTCTTTGTATTTAATTTCCCAAACTTTGAAATGGGTCCAAGGAATGAACTGGAGGGAAATTCTAAAGAATTAAGAAAACCAGAGGTATAGAGCTGTGTCTGAATTGCCATTTGGTGGTAGCAACACAACTAAAGCTATTATCAATGATACGCAATAGTGTCATTGTCCAATTTACCCTCCTACTTACTTACCCTACCTTTAAGATATAAGCCACAGGTGGCAAACACAAGGACCACGGGCCAAATCCGGCCCTCCACCTTGTTTCTACTTGGTGGCAGCACCAAGCTCTCGCTTAACTATTAAGGAGTAGTTACATTTATACAGTCCTAAAATTACATTAGGCCCTTTGAAGGCAACCATGAGGCTGATGTGGCCCCTGGTGAAAATGAGTTTCACACCCCTGATAATCTATGTTTTGGTTGAGACATAGTATATATGATGATGATCACAGAATAAAAAATGTTCAAGCCCTGATTGGTGTGGCTCAGTGGATTGAGTGCCAGCCTGTGAACCAAAGGGTCACTCGTTTCATTACAATCAAGGCGCATGCCTGGGTTGTGGGCCAAGTCCCCAGTTGGGGGTGTGCAAGAGGCAACCAATCAATGTATCTCTTACTCATGGATGGTTCTCTCCCTCTTTCACCCTCCCTTCCTTCTCTCTGAAAAGATATTTAAATAGGATCTTTAAAATAAATAAGTAAATAAATAGAATCTTTAAAAATGTTCAAGAACCATCTATCTTTGGTTTAGCAAAAAAATTTACGTTGCTTGTCTTGTGGAAAACAAGTAAATTACTACCATCCAGTGCATGAAACTAAAGGTCTAAAGAACAAATCAAACCCAGCCTCCCTGGAGAAGAATAACTTGCCTACATCATTTTTTTAATGCAAAAGTTACCCAGTAGTCTAAAAACTCTAAAAAATTACTACTAGCCAGCAGTGTGCAGAAATGACAAATTCTAACAAAAATAAAGTCAGTTCCTCCCTGTCTCCCCCAAATAAGTTTTCAGGATCCCAAATGGCTGGTCAAGTAGACCTTACCAGAGACACGGATGGCATCCAGAGCTTTCATCCTATACAAATAGTTGTAGCAATCTGTTGAGAAAGAGAGTGGTCTCAGACACAACCCTCAAAAATATCTCTGAACTCCAACAATTAATAAACTGCCTTCCCACATGTCATATACCCAAAAACAGAGGAACCACAGCTGCTGGTTTTGCAAACAGCTATGTTATAACTCTGAGAGCAAAGAACTCTGAACTTGTGGGATTCTTCACTGAAGTATCCTCCAAGAACATGCCACATACTCTGATTTCCCTGGGTTTCCAGCTGCAGCAGTCTTGTATCATCATCTGCAAGGAGCTGAGGTTCATACTTGATATCCTGAACCCTGGAGAGTCGAATATCAATCTCTTCTTTTAAGTCCTGTTCACACAAAGAATACACAATCACTTACCCTGTACTCTGCTTTTCATCAGTCTGGAAATGGAGCACAGCAAATGAGCAACTAAGACAATAGAAGCAGAGAAAATATTCACTTGGCTTATGAAATTGCAAGACTTGAGAACTCAAGAATAGCCCAGTACTCAGTGGATTGAGTACTGGTCTGCAAACCAAAGGGTTGCCAGTTTGATTCCCAGTCAGGGCATATACCTGGGTTGTGGGCCAGGTCAGGTCCCCAGTGGGGTTGCACGAGAGGCAACTACATACTGATGTTTCTCTCCCTCTTTTTCCTTGTCTAAAATAAATACATAAAATCTTAAAAAAAAAAATTTAAGAATGGGATTTGGATTTAAGAACTTCTCCAAACTATATGTCTCTAAGATCTTTTAACTTGCCAGAATTTTCTATAGCATCAACATTATTTCTGACTTTCGATTGGATTTAGGTAACTCTTATTTACCAGATAAAAAATTCTCTTTATCTGAATTCACATCCATTGTTGTTAGAAGTAAAAATTAGTTAAACTACTGTGGGAAATAATTGGGCATTATCTTGTAAGACTGCACATACACCTAATCCAGATGTGAATTCAGATAAAGAGAATTTTATTTAGGTATTATAAAGAACTTCCTGAGTTGGAAAAAAAATCAGCAACTGGAAGTCATAATCTACTCTAAAAATCTATAAGGAGTCCTATAGATGTCTTATAATAATTTGGGAACTACCATCTATCTGATGGACCACAGAAATTCTACAGAATTTCTTCTACAGCACATTTAATTTTTTTTAAACTCAAATTTATCTTTTTTTATCTCTTTTTTAAAATTTTATTTATTTATCTTTAGAAGGAAAGAGAAAGAGAGAAATATCAATCTATGGTTGCTTCTGGTGCATCCCCTGCTGGGAACTGGCCTGCAACCCAGGCATGTGCCCTGACTGGGAATTGAACTGCGATCTTTTGGTTCACAGGCCCGTGCTCAATCCACTGAGCTACACCAGCCAGGGCACATTTAATTTTTTAAGTAGGTAACTCATATACATGGTATAAAATTTAGTAAGGTACTTGCCATGGCCAGGTGGCTCAGCTGGTTGGAGCATTGTCCCATACACCAAAAGGTTGCAGATTTGACTACCCATCAGGGCACACACCTGGATCGTGGGCTCCATTCCTGATCAGGGTGCATTTAGGAGGCAACTGATCATTATTTCTCTCTCACATCAGTGTTCCTTCCCCCCTTCTAAAATCAATAAACATATTCTCAGGTGTGGATAAAAAAAAAAAAAAAGGTACTGAAAGTGCTACCCCTCACTTACCTAGTAGCAACCAGTTAAGTTTCATGTTCATCTCTTACTTAAGAGGGTTGCTTACTAGTAAGTAGATTTTTGGGGTAACTTTTAATACACGCACGTACATTTTAAATATCATCAAGACAAACAATTGCATGCTTGCTTTGGCAGCACAGTATACACATTAGCATGGCCCCTGTGCAAGGATAACATGCAAATTCATGAAGCATTTCATGTTTTAAAGAAAAGGTGAGCACCTGCATCCACTATTCAGTTTATAAACTAGAACACTAGCAATGAGTTTGAAGCCCTGTGTGCCCATCTCTGAATACAACCCCCCAATCTTAATTTGTCAAGTTTTAATTTTTTTGTTTTATCACATAATGTTAAACAAGATATTTAACTTTGTCTAGTTTAGAATTTTATACGAATGGAAAAATACTTCTTGAATTCCTCTGCAACCTTTTAAAATTTTAAGTAGCTTTTACTGAGTTTGACTTTACATGCAAAATGCGTCCAGCCCAATCAAGGTACATTTCCATCACCCCCAAATGTTCTTCATGTCTTCAGTTACCCTCCCCTGCCAGATGCACTGATATGCTTTCTATCAATATAGTTCTGCCTGTTCTAGAATTTCAGATAAATGGAATAGAACCATACGGCACATATTCTTTTGTGAATGGCTTTTTTCCACTCGGGATGTTTTTGAGACTCATTCCTGTTTGTGACTTACATTCACAAATATTTTGGAGATTCAACTGTATTCATACATTTATCTTCAGCTTATTTCCATCCTTAAAAAAATTTTTTTTAACCCTCACCTGAGGACTTTTTTCATTGCTTTTACAAAAGCAGGAGAGAAACACGGATGTGAGAGAAAAATATACAGGTCCAAACCCACAACCCTATGGTTAACAGGATGACGCTCCTACCAACCGAGGCACAATGGCCATGGATTTATTTATTTTTCAACTGATTTTAGAAACATAGGGAAGGAAAAAGAGAAACACTGATTTATTGTTCCACTTATTTATGCACTCATTGGTTGATTTTGGTATGTGCCCTGACTCAAACTCGCAACCTTGGTCTAATTAACTGAGCTATCTAGTTAGGACTTTTTTCATTCTTTATAATATTTCAAAATACAAATATGTAATTATGTAGCCATTCTCAAGTAGACATTTGGATTAATAATTTTTTTTAAGATTTAATTTATTTATCTCCAGAGGGGAAGGGAAGGGAAGAGGGAGAGAAATATCAATGTATGGTTGCCCCCTGTGTGTCCCACGTTGGGAACCATCCTGCAACCTAGGCATGTGCCCTGACTGCAAATTGAACTGTGATCCTCTGGTTCACAGGCCCACGCTCAATACACTGAGCTACACCAGTGAGGGCTGGATTAATAATTTTTTAAAAACATTACCAAGAATGCTACCGTGAATATTCTTATACATGTGTTCTGTAAACATGAGCAAAAATTAATTTCTCTATGATAGCAGTGGAACTGCTGGGCTGTGGATTAGGTGTATGTGCAGTCTTACAAGATAATGCCCAATTATTTCCCACAGTAGTTTAACTAATTTTTACTTCTAACAACAATGGATGTGAATTCAGATAAAGAGAATTTTTAAAGGCAAAAGGAACCTTGGTCTCATCTAGTCCAGGGGGCTCCCAAATACCCTCTTTTGCTGGGTATAATGCGCTCCCACATTTTTTGGCCCAAAATTTCGGGAAAAAATATTTCAATTTTTAATTCGATTAATTTATTTATATTTAGAAACAAAACCAATTATTGTATTCCAGGGTATTATTTTGCATGCAGATAATTGTTATTGCTTTCTACAGCTACACTTTTAACACATTAGCATAGACAAAACAAAAACATTTATATAGACATGGAATTAGTACTATCCAGAGATAATGCACATTCTTATTTTTTCCCTCAAAAATTTGGGCAAAAAAGTGCACATTACACATGCCATAATACAGTAGTCAAGTTTTGATTGGCTCATGATGTATTGGAAGCCAGCCCTATAATCCCTCTCATGGGAGGCAGCAGGCATTTGAACTGTGGGAATGTGGAAGATGCACTGCTGACCTTTCAGGCCATGCCACCTTCCTTGAGGTTTTCTATGAAATGTATTAGCAAAGAACATGGAGGGGAGCGTTAATAGCACTGGTTAATGAACGAACAGGAGTTTAGGAGTTATATACTAGCTCTAGTGCTCCCACTAACCTGTTTTTCACTTAAAACAAATTGAGTATCTAATATGTGTAGGACCTGGTTTTACAGTGATGAAGAAAACTGATAGGGCGCTTGCATTCTTGAAGCTTATAGTTTAGTGAGAGAGGCATTGAACAAATAGAAAATTAAACATAAAAGAAAAATCTTTGGTAAAATGCTATCTAGAAAAAAATCAGGGGACTATGAGAAAACAAAGAGGACGATCTATACAGGTAAATAAGCACTCTTCTTTGGAGGAAATAAAATTTAAGTTAAGATACTAAGACCTAAACAAAAACAAGCTGGTCAAGTAAAGACCAGAAATCATTCTAGGTCACAGTAACAGCACAGGTAAAAGTGGGAAATTCAACCATTGTAGCCAGGCCCGTGATGAAAGGAGAACCATACAAAAAGGGGGTTGGTAAGGCCAACAGGTACCTTTCTTTAACCTGGAAGTGAAAGACAAACAGCAGGATGGTTGGTGGTGAGTTATCAAGAGCTGTGATTTAGATGTGTTAAGTGTTACTTGCCTGACTATTAAACATCTAAGTAGGCAGCTGGATATATAAGCATGGAACTCAGGCAAGAGGTTGGGATAGAGATAAAATTTCATCAGTAGATAAATAACCAGACCAAGGAAAGGCAGACAATTACCTAAGAACTAAAGGAACCACTTGGTTATTACCTTTTTAAAATGGGTAAATTGTTTCATTTTCTTAGGTTTCAGTTTCTACCGTGAAAGTCGGAACTAGATAACGTGTGGAGCACTTAGAAATCTAAAATTCTACAGAGGCGACTTTTCTCATCGTGCTGGGGCTACTTTTACCACCCTCACCCCATTCTAAAACGCAATTTAAACAAAAGAAAACACAGGGTAGTTTAAGCTGAACCGGGAAACATCACAAACGTTGGGAATTTTAATCCAAGCTCTTCATTCTGCAGATGCAAAAACTCAAGTTCCTGGGTAAGCTATAGGCTATGCCAGAGCAGTAAACAGGTAAGCCAGGCCCCAAGGTAACCGTTATTGCTCAACCTACTAAGGTAAGCACGTGGGTAACTGCACAGGGAAACAGGGACTTAAAAGTCATTTCCAAAGGCATAAGAGATCTCACTCTGCGCCTTAACAGATCTGGAGAACCAGGCCTATCCAGTGCCTTAAGGACCTACCTTGGGGGCATTGTGTCCCACAGGGACGTGAGGTCCCCTTCGGGATTTCATTGCAAAGCGCATGATTTGTCTCTTCACAAAAATAAAGAGCAGTACAAACACCTGTCCAAAAAATGTAAGAGAAATAAAGAATCTTAAATAAAAACACAGTGAAAACAAGTAAAAACCATGCCTTCATTTTAGATCCCCAGATTCAGGTTCTTAGGGAGGTTTCAGGGGTATAACTTGGGGCAGCAAGGCCATCAAAGATGGGGTGTGTATAAGGAAGTCAGGAGCGCAGAGGCGTGGGAAGTCCGTGTCTTAGGATTCAGAGGGAGGATTCTCGACCAGGGGTGGGGCAGTATACGCCTAAGGAAAGGGGTCAAAACACAGAAAAAGAGTAGATGAATGGGTGGAGAATGAGGACAGGAAACTACCTCATACGAGTCAGGGTCTCTACGAAGAGGGGCTCTACGGGATCACACCCAAGAGCAGGAATGGGTTAGGGGAATCTCCTCACCAGGCTCCCGTAGGCCATCACCAGCACGACATTCACCCCCGACAGCCAGTTACTGCCGGACGCCATGGCCTCCCCACCCCGCACAGAACTGCTCCAGTTTACCCCGCTGCCCTGCCTCGTCAGCCCGGGCTCTTCCGGGGCAAAAACGCCTTGGTCCCCCGAAGCTCCCCAGCCATTTCCTTACGGGGTAAGACCAAGGCTGACCCGGCCAGAAAACATGGCGGAGTAGGGAGTTGTGGGAAAGAAGAACACCTTCCCGCTTTCGCCCAACACGTGACTCACGCACGTAATGGCAGCGGGGAACGGAGACCTGGGACTCGCGGAACTACTTCAGTAAGAGGAAGCGCCGGCCGTGCAGTGGGTCACGTGGTGGGGGGCGTGACTACCCTGGAGAAGGCATTGGGGAGAGGGGCACGCGGAGCCGGAGTGTGGTGTCTCGTGGCGAGGCGGCACGCGCACGCTTGCGTGCGCGTCCCTTTTCGCGTCACGTGCTGGGGGACGCAGGAAGGCAAGTGGGAGGGGGAAGGCGCGAGAGCGAGCGCGAGAGGGAAAAGGAGGGATGGGGGCGGGGAGGAGGGAACCTTATATCACGTGACAGGGGCGGCGCGGCCCGGGGTGTCAGTGTGGAGGAGACTGAGGTAAAGTTGGGAGCGCAGCGGTGTTGGCGGCGGCGGCGGTAGCAGCGGCAGCGCGGCGGGGCCGGGTATTGTCCGCGGCCCCTTTAAATCCGCGATTCCCCCTTTTACCCTCCCTTTTTTCTCCTACCCCGCCGTGTCCCCCTCCTTTGGTAGGCCCCCCCCCGCACCGTGTTCCCCCACTGTACATCCCCCTCAGTCGTGCGAGCCCTGGCTACGAGCCCCATCCTCCAGTCGGCTGCCGGAGATTTTTGTTTATGGTTGGGTTCGCGGCCTAGTGGGCCTTACCAGAGCCGGGGCCTCGATTTGGGAGCGTGGCCGGGGCGGGGCTTGGGGCAGCGGGAGGGGGGGCATGCGGCTAGAGCCTGAGGTGGGGGAGAGCGAGAAAGAGCGCGAGCGAGCGAGGCCTGGGCCCCGCCTGAGGTAGGGCCCTCTCTACCCCGGCCGGTTCCTGTGGAGAAGACGAGGGGGCCTTCTCCTTTTTCAATCCTCTGTGGGCCTCTTATCCGGATCCGGCCTGATTTGGGGGGTGGCGGAGCGGAGGGAGGGTGATGGGGTGGAGCTGCCCCAAACTCCCCCATGTGGCCCTCAGTTTGGAGTGCGGGGGATTAAATTGTTCCGGGTGGGAGGCGAGGAGGAGATGTGGCGCCGCTGAGCGAGTGAGCTTACCATCCTCCACGCGTGGGCTTGCGTCCCCTCTCCGTTTCCAGCTTCTTTGTCAGCTTCTCTTATTACCCTTCCTTTTTTTCTCACCGTCTCAGCTTTTGGAATATGTTTTGCTTCTGTCTTCAGCTTTCTGTTGCTCATACTGTAGTTTGCGGTACCCCAAGCAATTACATTATTTGGGAAGCTGGACATGGAGTCCCCCATCGAGTGCATTACGCCTAAGGGACGCACTAGAGCACTGGGATATTTGTTCACTCTTTTCATAATGGGACAGGAATTCCAAATTTCTCCAGACCCTTCACCCTGAGGGCAGTCCCTAAATTTGCTTTACAAACTGATGTCACAAACAGGGTACTGCTCCCTTTCCACCATTCTTGAATTGTAGCCACCTCTGGTGTAGGATATTGTGGAAAGAAAAACACCACAGTAATAGATGTTTTTCTTGTTATTGCGTTGCCTTTGACTGCCCCTGATTATTAGATGGAGAAATTCCTTTTTGTTTTTCCCCCATCCACCTCCCATCGCCCATATTTTGCTTTGGGAGTATTTGGTGTAACTTGGTGGGAGATGGTAAGGGTCAGTGACAACTAGCATTACTAGAGAACTGAAACGTTTTGGCTGTGTATGGGTTGATAAAAACTGCTTTGAGATCCTACACCATTGTCCTTACAGATTAGAATATGCCAGTGATTATTTCCGTTATGAACAGGAAGTATTTCTGGTATGTAAACCAATGATGAAAGGTCTTAAAATGTACTGTTTTTGATTTCTAAAGCCCCTCTTTATTTAACATGTCCTAACTGGGAAATACTCTTTTTAAAAATTAAATTCATGTTGATGGGAAGGGGAAGAAGGGGTCATTAACACAAAACATCCAGTGGAGTTAGTGACACTGTTAGTGGTAGTAAATCTTACCCCAGTCTACCTTCAGAAGTTCTGAATTGCTTCTCAAATTAGATTGTAAGCCCCCTGAGGGTAGCAACTAAGTCACAATACTTTTGTATATCCTAAAGTGCTGAACACAGTAGATAACTCAATAAATACTTAACTTTTTTTTCCCCCTGTAAAAATTCTCTGGCTATTTTTTTAAGTAGCTGGTTTTCAAAATATGGTCAAGGGCACTCCTGTGTTGAAACCTGTGTTTGTTCCTGCACTAGACACTTGGTCTCCAATACTTCTCACCTATCTCCCTTAAACATTAAAAAAAAAAAAAGATTTTATTTATTTACTTTTAGAGAGAGGGGAAGGGAAGGAGAGAGAGAAAGAAACATCAGTGTTTCTTGTGGCCCCCCACTGGGGACCTGGCCCACAACTGAGGCATGTGCCCTGACTGGGAATCGAAACTGAAGCTCTAGTTCCCAGCACTGAGCTACATCAGCCAGGGACCCTTAGACTTTTTTAAAGAAAATTTAACAAAATTTCTTACCTTCACTGTGATAACTTTCGTACGCGCCTCTGCTTGCTGTTAAAGGCTACTAGTTTTTGTGCCCTCTGGTGATCTGTCCCAGATCACTTACCTGTTGCTCAATGTTCTTACTGCCTATGTGGTAAAATTTTCTTAGACACACTTTTCATACACATAAGAGGAAAATAGAAATTAATAGCAAAAGTGATCAGGAGGATTTCATTTTTTCTTTCCTATGTGGCTTTCAAGTTGACCTAATACATTTATATCGATTAGTATAGTAATATGCAATCATCCATAGAGTTAGCTAGTCATACAATTCATAGTTGTAGTGTAAATCATGCTCACAAATTGGAAATCATATGGGGAGTAGAAAGTCAGTGGTTCTGCAGGAATGGCTACCCCCATATTAGAAACTATATCTTAGAGCCAATTATTTCCACAACGATTTTCCTCTAGTTCCCCCTCCCCCACATTGATTTGAGTCTAGGGGTACTTTGTTTAAAAAAATTTTTTTTTATTAATTAGGTGTTGAAACTTGAAAATAATGCCAGCCTGGGAAACGACTATTGTGTAGTAGATAATCCTGTACTATCTAGAAATATTTATAAGCCTTTGTGTGTAAACTTGTGTAGGGGAGGGGTAATGATTAAAAATTAGTCCCTTAAAACTCTTGGTGATAGAAGATGTCGAATTCTTTTTTTTTTTATTTACTTATTTTTAGAGGGAGGGAGAGAAACATCAATGTATGGTTGCCTCTTGGGCGCCACCACCACTGGGGGACCTGGTCCACAACCCAGGCATGTGTCCTGGCTGGGAATTGAATTGGTGACCCTTTGGTTCACAGGCCAGGACTCAATCATCTAAGCCACACCAGCCAGGGCAAAAGATGTAGAATTCTTTTTTTTTTTTTTTTTTTTTTTTTTTAAGATTTTATTTATTTTTAGAGGGGGGAAGGGAGGGAGAAAGGGAGAGAAACATCAATGTGTGGTTGCCTCTTGGGTGCTACCCCTGCTGGGGGGCCTGGTCTGCAACCCAGGTATGTGTCCTGACTGGGAATCGAAGTAGTGACCCTTTGGTTCACAGCCCATGCTCAATCCACTGAGCTACTCCAGCCAGGGCAGATGTAGAATAGAATTCTTCATTACTGCATTAAAAATCAAAGACCTATGCAACCTGTTGACCCAGCTTGTTGAAGAATTTACCCCAAGGAAGTCAGCTTTCTTTGTGACCAAGAAACAGGTGAAATTCACTTTCCTAATAGTTAATCCTCACATGTTTCTTTAGAAGCCCACCTTAACTTGCCCTTAAATCCAGCAGTACCTTCTAGATTTAATTCTAGCAGTCTAGAATTATCCTGTATAAAGTATTAATGAAAAGCAAATAAATTTAGGGCATAAAAATATAAACTTGTACTTTTTGGAAGGGAATAAAAGTGCAAAATAACCTCTTATTTTGACCACTCCATCATATGAATGTTTGGATTTTTTTGTTTACTAAATGCAGTAGCTGAGATTACATTGTAGAGCAAAGTGTGAATGACGAGAACCTAAATTCTATAGAATCCTTGCTTGTTAGAACTGTTACAACAAAAAACTGCTGGTTTAGGGAAGGTCCTGTGTGTTGTGTGTGACCCTTGACTTGCAGTAATGTCTCAAGTTTAAAATGACTTACCAGAAGGCTTTTTTCCAAATACTACTTGTGCTAGATGATTTG